TGCCATTTGCCATGCGGGCGAGATACTCTCGGTAGCTTGCAGGACTCTCTGAGAGGGGCAGAGGAATCGAACTTGGGTCAGCTGTGTCGGCTGCAAGCAAGGCAAACACCCTACCCAATGTGCTATCGCTCCAGCCCATATGCCTCTCAGAGTGCCCGGCAAGCTACCAAGACTATCCCGCCCACATGGGCAGAGCCTGGCAAGCTACCAGTGTCATATTCAATATGCTAAAACCAGTAATTAGTAACTATAATGGGTCTCATTCCCCTGACCCTGTCACAGGCAGAGTCTCCTGCCCCCGCTCTTGGCTGTCCTCGCCGGGGCCCCTTGGAGGGGGCGGGTTGAGTTTCCCTCCCCGCCCCGAGCAGAGCTCCAGCAGCCGAAGACCTCCAGAACCAGCCACAACCATTCTGAGACCACTCTCCACATGCATGAAGGTACCGGCAGAGGAACAAAGGCATGCGGGTCCCGGGGCTGAGATCTCCAAGCCTGCTCGGATCGGGGCTGAGCATCCTCCACCCAGATCCTCCATCTTCCAGTAGGCAGGGGTCACACCCACCAACTGACCCCCTGGCGCCGTGTAATCCCATCAACGGCCAAGACCCAGAGACTACAAAACCCAGCTCTTGGAGGCTTATTACCTCATTCTTACTTTGGACAACCTGGCAGGCTACCGAATGTAACCTGCCCACACGGCAGAGTCTGGCAAACTCCCCGTGGCGTACCCAATATGCCAAATACCAGTAACAATGATGGGTCTCATTCTCCTAACCCTGAAAGAGCCTTGAATATGGCACTTTAAAATCTCAGGGCTAGGATGAAGGAGACATTACTGATGCCTGCTCGAGGCAATCGACGAACAACAGGATGATCGTGATCGTGATCGTGATCGTGACCCCTGACCCCGAAAGAGCCTCCAAACGTTGGGAAAGACGGGTAAGGAGAAGCTGGGGGGTCGGAGCGATAGCACAGCCGGTAGGGCGTTTGCCTTGCACACGGCCGACCTGGGTTTGATCCCCGGCATCCCATATGGTCCCCCAAGCACCGCCAGGAGTAATTCCTGAGTGCAGAGCGAGGACTAACTCCTGAGCATCGCTGGGTGTGACCCAAAAAGTAAAAAAAAAAAAAAAGTAAAATCTCAGGGCTGGGACGAATAGAGACGTTACTGGCACCACTCGAGTAAACTGACGAACAACAGGATGACAGTGATATATATATATATATATGTATGTATAAGTGGGCTGGAGCAATAGCACAGCAGGTATGGCATTTGCTTGCACGCAGCCAACATGGCCGACCTGAGTTCGATTCCTTTGCCCCTCTCAGAGAGCCCAGCAAGCTACCGAGAGTATCTCGCCCGCACGGCAAAGCCTGGCAAGCTACCCATGACGTATTCGATATGCCAAACACAGTAACAAGTGTCACAATGGAGATGTTACTGAGCCCGCTCGAGCAAATCGATGAACAACGGGTGGACAGTGACAGTGACAGTGATATGTATAAGCACACAAGGCTCAACTTTTAACAGCATGTTACTAATCTCTTATAGGTCTTCTGGGTGAAATACAACAATCCTCACACACTTTCCTCTAAGGAAACTTTTCTGTCTCATTTTTAGTGGATTATTCATAACAAACAATACAAAATAAATTATTTTGGTTCTGCTTTCGGGGCAGAGTTTAGGTTTCGGGTTGGAAATACAGTGGTGGGAAGGTGTAATGGTGGTGGGATTGGTGTTTGAATGTTAAATGTAATTAAATATTGTGAATAACTTTACAAAAATGAAATTAAAATTTAAAAAAAGAGGTTCTGACCCAGCCCAGCCACACATGAGGACATACACAAGGACACTGTCAGGGGACAGACTCAGACCCTCATGGACAAACTCTGGGCTGGATCTCAGCTGGGCAAAGACCCTGCAGCCCCCAAGTTCCAACAGATGGGGGAAAGGAGGGCAGAAGAGGCTGCTCAGGGATGAGGGCAGCAGGGCCAGTGCAGGGGTGGGGGCAGCGGGGGCTATGCAGAAATGGGGGCAGCGGGGGCAGTGCAGGGGTGGGAGTTGGGGGCTTGCAGGGGTGAGGGGCAGCGGGGGCTGTCCAGGGATGGGGTAGAGGGGACTGTGCAGGGGTGTGGGGCAGACAGGCTGTTCAGGGAAGCTTCCATGTCAGGAAAGAAGAAAAAGGGGCGTGCAGGTGCTCCTGTGGAGGCCAAGATGTTGAATCTCCCACACAGAGGAGCCACCACACCACACTCCCCTCTGAGGATATCTCAGGGCCGCACCATGGGAACCAGCATGCACACACATGCAGATGCACATGTGTACACACATAAACACACGCACACATGCACACACGTGCATGTGAACTCATAGGCACCCGTGGACACACATGCACTTGCATGCACACACATGCACATATGCACGTGCACACGGACTCGGGCCCTGGCTGGGCTTGAGTTGAGTGTGATGCACCTCATGTCATCCATCTCTTCGTGACTCTTTCTGGGGCCACCCAGGCTCCGGCTCAGGGCCTCCCTCCAGGACTTACTCTCCATGGATTCCCCATACCCGCGGGGGCACACACACCCTTGGCGGGGTGTCCACCCATATGGGCTTGGGTGTCCCTGTCTGTCATACTTCACCTGATGGGCTGTGATCTGGGTTCTGGAGGTCAAACCCCACAGCGGCTCAGGCACGGGAATGGGGCTCCGAACCTTACCCCCTCTCAGAGCTGAAAGCCACTGCCCGGACAGTGGGCACGAAGAGGGAGACCCCTAAACTTCGGTGGGCCCTTCCTGCGGCCTGCCATGGCGGCCAGCCTGGGGCTGCTGGAACCTTCCTGCCCAGGGCTTCAAGGACAAGCCAGGTGCACCTGCCTGCCGCCCCATGGCCCACCAAGCACGCCCCATTCTATCAGCCCCGCCCACCAAACTCGCTGTGCAGACTCTGGTGGGGCCATGGCCCGCTGAGCAGCCTAGGGGTACGGGCCTTGCTGTTCTGGCTGAGGAAGATCCAGATCCCCATAAAGCCCTTGGGCCCATCCCACCCTGCTGCTTTACTCTGCTCCGTAAGTAAAGTACACCCTGAAAGTGCCACCCAGCACTGGGGGCCGCCAACAATGCCTCCCTGAGTGGGCACTGGAGGGATGAGGGGGGCAGGACCTGGCACGCTGCCCGTGCCTCCTGCAGGCCTCAGTCCCGGGGACAACAGGAAGCCCAGGCCCTCCAGGGAAGCCCGGCCAGGGGAGGGCAAGGCTCTTCAGCGTCAGGGCCTGCAGAGAGCGCCCCCCCCCCCAGGGGAGGCCTCCCGTGGGTGGGGGACACTCCAAAGAAAGGGCACAGTGGCGCGGAGGCTAAGCTCTGGGCCCCTCTGCCCCGCCAGATCTTTCTGGGTTTCCCTAGGCCGGCGGCCCTGAGCCTCACTCAGGCTCCCCGCTGCTGTCCGCATCCTCCCTGCCGACCCCACAGTGCTCCCTGAGTTCTGATCACCCCACCCACCCACCAGCCTGTGCTCCTGCACCGAGGATCACCTCTGGCTGGTGGCCTCGTCCTGGGGGTGGCCAGAGGGGGCTGTGGCCTGAGCTTTCACCTTCCCTGCTGAGGCAGGTCTGACGCCTGACATGGAGTGAAGGAGGCGACAGGGGGAAAGTGAACTGCAGAGACTCGTGAGCTGATCAGGCGTCCGCCCGCCAAGTACAGCAGCAGCCGGCCAGGACGTGAAGAGGAGGTGTAGAGTCCTGGGGCTGCCGAGCCGGGGCCGAGGGGCGGCTGGGGGCAAGGGCCACATGCACCGGGCATGTCCAAGCAGGACCCCCCACAGCGGGCCTATCACGCCATGCCCACAGGTGCAGAGCCCTGCACTCGTGCAGGCGGGGATGATGGTAGCATGACAGGAGGGTGGGCAGGGGCCACTGGTGACCAGCCTCTGCCATCAGGACCCACGATCCTTCAGGGCGGTGCAGGGGGGGCAGCAGCCACAGGGTAGGGTCACGAGGAAAGCGCTGCTGCCCCAGGGCCCTCCCCCAGGCGGGCGGTTAGTAAAACCTCTGGCCCTGCTCACGTGTACATCTGTTCTGGGGGTGACAGAAGGGGGCTTCTCGCAGGTGGGCCTGGTGGCCTGGGAACTCTGACACCTCCTAAGCACAGGGCACACTGTGGCCTGCAGGCCAGGGTCCCTCCCAGAACCTTCCTTCAGCTGGTGGTGAGGGGCTTTACTCTCTTGGCAGCCTCCGGGCTGGGCCAGAGCTGCAGCCAACCCATCCAGCCATGCTGGGAGCACAGGGGATGATCCCGGACCCTCTGCTGGGCCTCGGAGTGGGGGCTACCTGGAGGGGGTGTGGACACCTTGACCACCTCCTCATCGGAGGGGGCTGCTCAGAGACACACGGGCTGTAGGCTGAGGGGCCATGGAATCCAGGTCCGGCTCCTGTAAGGGCAACAGTTAGGCCCAGGGGGTACTTCACAGAGCTGTGGGCTGTGGGGGAGAGAGGGCAGGAGGCCCACCCCTCCATAACCATGGCCTGCACTGGCCCTCACAGGTCACAGTGCCACGGACCAGGCTCTCACTGTCCACCCTGCAGTTTGGAAGCAGGCCCGGCGGGGGTGTGGGCGGCAGGTGCCGTGGGCTTCTGTCCAGAGGCAGCAGAAGCAGGAGGGGCCTGGGCTGGAGGAACAAGAGCTGGCCCTGCCGGCTGGCCACTCTGCAGACCACCCAGAGTGCAGAGGACACAGGGTCTGGGCTAGCCAAGGGCACCAGGCCGTCCTTGGCTGTCCCTGGGGTTGGGCTCACTCCCAGGACACACTGTCCTGGGCCTCCTGCACAGCCCTGCAGCTGGCAGGGACATCCATGCTGCCGTGGCCAGCGGGCACGAGAAGGCAGGCAGGAGGGACCCAACCAGGCATGACAAGCCGTGGTTCCTGCCGTTGACCTGGAGGCAGGGCGTTGGGGACAGGTAGCATTTATTGAGGGGCACTGGGCCAGAAGCTCCAAGGCTCATGGGGGCTCATGCCAGCTCTGAGGTGGAAGCAGGGGTGGGTGCTCTGGCCTTCGGGACCAAAGAAAGCAGAACTGGGGGACTGGGTGGGGTGGCGCTCGTCAGCACCTGAGCCACAAAGAGGATCTTGTAGGTCTCCTTGACGTCCCCACGGAGCTGCAGCAGAGCTGACACCACGAGGGGGTGGTCCGACTGTGGGGGGGGGGCGAGGGGGACACTCAGGGACTACTGCTGCGCTTCCCCAGCCCGCCCAGGGCCCGTGGGCTCTTGGGGGTTTCCTGGGCACCTACATCGAAGTTCGGGGGTGGCACCCAGGAGATGCTGATGGTCTTGGTCTGGCCGCGCTCCACAAAGCCCTTGGTGGGCTCCACAGTGAAGCCTTTGTGCTGCAGGGACGAGACACTGTCCAGGCTGAAGTCCACCACCTGCAGGGCAGGAAGGCCCCAAGGAGCACAGGGCAGGGAGCACGAGGATCACAGAACAGGGAGAGCACATGGCAGGTAGCACGGGCAGGGCGTATGGGAAGCATGGGGTAGGAAGCATGGAGCATAGGGGGCAGGGAACAGGGGGACATGGGGCAGGGAGCATGGAACAGGAAGCATGGTAGCACAGGACAGGGAGCACGGGGAGCATGGAGCAAGGAGCACAGAGAGCATGGGTACATGGGACAGGGAGCACAGGGAGCATGGGATAGGGAGCAGGGGAACATGGGACAGGGAGCATCGGGGAGCATGGTACCGGGAGCATGGGAAGCATGGGGCAGGGAACATGGGGGCACAGGACAGGGAGCATGGGACAGGGAGCATGGGACAGGGAGCACAGGGAGAACAGGACAGGGAGCATAGGACAGGGAGCACGGGGAACATGGGACAGGGAGCATCAGGCAGAAAGCATGTGGAGCATGGTGCTGGGAGCATGGGGAGCATGGGGCAGGGAACATGGGAGCACAGGACAGGGAGCACGGGGAGCACAGGACAGGGAGCATGAGACAGGGAGCACTGGGAACATGGGACAGGGAGCACGGGGGAGGGAGCACGGGGCAGGGAGCACTGCCCAGCATCTGGGGGTGCACTCACCTTCTTGGAGGTTGGCTGGTTGCTTCGGATGCAGCCCACCTGTAACTCTCGGGTGGCTGGAGAAGCCGGTGTGTCCTCATCCAGCTGGATGTAGTCCAGTGTCACCAGTATGCCCTTCAGCTCCTCGCCTTCTAAGTGGGGGGCACTGCCTAGGGGGCACCAGGGGCGACAGAGTCTGGGCGTTACCGGGCCCCTGAGGAGGGTGCGTGGGGGGACGCGGGAGAGCCCCACCTTCTCCGTGTTCCAGCAGCGGGACGGTCGACAGGGACTCCACGGGCACATCGAGTGGGTCCCCCCCCTCCACAAACATGCTGTGCTCGCGGGCGGCGCCCTTCAGGAGGATCTGGCGGGACGTGTTCTGGGGAAGGCCACACAGCCCTGGTCAGGCTGAGCCCCGCGGGCAAGGGGGGGCGGCATGGGTCCCACCCGGCCACCACCTTATTGAAGAGCACGACCCGCAGCCGGTCCGAGAAGTAGAGGCTCTCGTGGTCAGGGCTGAAGGTGAGCGTGAAGTCCTGCGCCTGGCCGGGCTCCAGGATGCCCTCCACGGGGACCACACTGAACACGCTCTGCCCGCCGTAGTTCTGCGTGCCTGTAGGGTGTGGGCACTGCAGCGGTGGCCCTACTCAGCCCTGCCCGGCACACGCCCGTCCCGGGCCCACCGCACCTACGACCTCCGTCCGGTGTAGCCCCACGGCCCCTGCTGCCAGGAAGCGCGGCAAGGGCACCTGCGTGTTGGACCTGCTGTCCGCCAGGCTGTCCAGCTGCATAGAGAACTCCACTGGCAGCGACGAACAGTTCTGCAGCTGGGCGGGCAGGGGGCGCTGTGGGCCAGCCCATCCGAGCCCCGCCCTCCGTCTGTCCCTCCCCTGCCTCCCTGCCCTCTCCTCTGTGTCTCTGCCTCTCTCCTGCGTCTGTCCCTCTCCCCTGTATCTCTGTCCTCAGACCCCTGTGTCTCTATCCCTCTGTCCCAGGGGCTGCTCTCCCCTCCAGATCCCTTCCTCGATGTTTCACTTTAACGCTACCCGCCCCCTTCCCTCCCCCCTCCCCCAGCCTGCAGGGCCCAATTCAAAGCTGGGCCAGAAGGGAGGAGGGGGAGGGCTCTAGCACATTGGCCCACCCTCTTGAGCCCACTCTCCCAGGGCACCTTGAAGCCCACAGACACACTCTCCCTGGCGATGACGTAGCCCATGTGCAGGATGTCACCCTGGATGGAGCAGGTGATCCTGGGCTCCACACCCGTGCCCCTCAGGGTGAGCGTCAGTGCGCCCCGCTTGGTGATGATGTCCAACGCCTCCTGGGCCTGCGTGGGAGACGGGCGTGTGTGTGTGTGTGTGTGTGTGTGTGTGTGCTGGGGCGGGCAGGGCTGCGGGGGTGGGCCCGGGGTCGCGGTGCTCACCAGGACATTCTGGCGGGGAGAGAAGGACAGCACCAGGGTGTGGCTCTCGCCTGTTGCCAGCTTGCTGATGGGGTTCAGCAAGACAAAGGGGCCGTCGGGGTTCAACAGGGAGAAGTCCACCTGAGTCCCACGTCAAGGAGAGGCGGGGGAGGGCATGCCCTCCCCCCCCCCCCCCCCCGCTCGATGCCCGGCCCCAGAGCAAGGATACGTCCAGGTCTTGGGGGCACACATTCTGGATAGAGACCTTCCTCAAGATGCTGTGGCCTGCAACAGGGGCGGGGGTCACAGCCGGCTGGGTGGGGCGGGGCGGGGCGGGGCGGGCCAGGCCAGGCAGCAGGGCCACCCGCAACTCACCTATCGCCACCTCATCAAACTCGACCACAGTCCTGCCGTTGTTGGACATCACCATGATGGATGGGGCCACTGTGGGACACCACAGCTCCAGGTAGAGGGTGTGGTGGGGGCTGCAGGGGCAGCACAGGCTCATGGCAGGGCCCGGGGCCTCGCCCCAACCTTAGCCAGGGAGAGCAAAGACTGGGCTGGTCACACCCTGCCCCTGCCCAGGTTTCGCACCTGAAGTTCAGGGGCTCCATCCCCTCCTTGTCCCTGAGGTCGCCGCTGGCCACAACGCAGGGGACCACAAACTTGTCAAACTTGCCTTGGAAAGACCTGGCCAGGCTGCCCTGCAAAGCCTGGTACTGGTCCAAGCTGGAAGGAGGGATCAAAAGGCAGCCTCCAGCCCCTGGCACAGAGGACAGGGGCTGGACAGTCCCTGCCTTGCACCGCAGGACAGCCCCCAGCCCCAGCAGTTCCGGACAGTACAGGGGAGCAGGTGCCCTGGACCGCCCCCTTGAGTGCCACGTGCCCTGGGCCAAGCTGGCAGGGGGCAGCCAGGTCTCTGGGCAGGGGCAGGTGCCGGAGAAGGTGAGGTCCAGCCCACCTGGACACTAGCTCTTTGCCCGGGGGCTCCTGCAGGTGGGAGGCCTGGGACTGCCGAGCGCGGTGCTCTTGCTCGTGGCTCTGCCGCTGCGACACTGAGGACTTCCGCGGCTCCCTCCTCTGGGTGGTACTCCTGCGGTGCTGCTGGGGAGACGCCAGCTGAGCCTCCACCCAAGGGGAAACCGAGGCAGCTGCAGTGTTCCTGTGCCTTCCCAGCTGCTGCAGGGGTGCCTGGGAACCACCCAGAAGGCTGGGGGGGGGGCTCCCCGGTGCTGCTCTGCTGCGTCCCTGAGGCCTGACCCCCTGGCCAGGACCTGGACATCTGTCCCTGAACAGAGGCTCCCGTCAGCCTCCCAGCCATCCTCCAAGGAGCTGGCTCGAGTGTCAACACGACAGAATGCTCAGGTGGCTTGTGCCCCAGGTTCCAGTGTGGGGTGCCAGGGGAAAGGTGGCGGGAAGCAGGACCCCCACCCCCATCCCTCCCACCCCTGCCAGCCCCTCACCAGCTTGACCTCATCTTTGGTCTGGAAGGGTTCCTGCTGCTTGAGCTCCGCAGGAAGCTTGGGCCCGAAGGTCACCTGGACCAGGCACCTCTAGAGGGAGTGCCGGAGAGTGGCCCTGGCTGGGTTGACCCTCACCTCCCCAAGCCGGGTCAACTCTGATTGGGCCGACTCCTCACCTCCCCTAGCCTGGCCAACCCTCCCCTCCCCTCCCTTCCCCTAGCCAGGCCAACCCTTACCTCCCCTGGCTGGGCCAACCCCTCACCTCTCCCAGTCAGGCCACCCTCACCTCCCCCCAGTCTGGCCGACCCCTTACCTCCCCCAGCTGGGCCGACCCTCACCTCCCCTGAGGCCGTGCAGCCGTGCTCACCCTTTGGCAGCTGCTGAGTAGCGCAGCTGACCGGAACGAGGAGCAGGCCTGTGGCCAAAGTGCTGGGTCCTCTGGGCCCCCTGCTCTGGCCCAGAGGACCCACGGGGCCCAGACCCACCTTTCCGGGAAACACGGTTCCCACACAGGGGGAGATGGTGATGGGTGCGTCGAGGGGCACCAGGAACTCGAAGGAGGTGGGCCCCGCATCCTGGGAGCCGGTGGGAACGCCGTGAGTGCTGACGACATACAGGGTGGCCACCGAGGAACCACTCAAGGCGGTGGCAGCAAACTTGATCTGGCAGTGGGACAGCTCCAGTGGTGGGGAGACAGCCACTGCCTGGCACTCCAGCTTGAAGCACCTGTGGGGAGCCATGAGGGGCAGCTGAAGCCCCTGCCCCCATCTGGAACGCCTGCGTGGGACAGTCAGTGTGTGTGGCAAGTCCTGTCTCAGGCACCCACGCGGGCCAGCAGTGCCTGAGGTGAGGGCACTCCTGGGCTACAGGTGAGGCTGTCAGCTGCATCCCCTCCTTCCTCTTCTATGGAACCCCAAGCCACAGGACTCTGGGGTCCCGGGTCAGTGGGGGACCTGACCCCCAATGGCTGTTCTTTAGTGAGAGTCGGAGGAGTCACACGTGCTGCAGGGCCTCTGAAAAGCCACCAGCGTGCAGGCTTGGAGCTATCATCCTCCCACCTCCTCTGCCCCATTCCTCCCCATCTGAACCCCGGAACTCTCCAGGCAGTGAGAGGCGTCTGTGCAGACTGGGCTGGAGCTTCTGCGGGGCCCCTGGGGCTCCGGGCGACTCTGGTCCTCTGACCTCCACTTTGTGCTGCTGTCACAGACAGTGTGCCAGGGACTGGGTCCTCGCAGCCACTTTCGGCCACTCACCTGCCCCTTGGGCCTCACTTGTCACTTAGGGGTTACTGTGCCAGCATGCAATTTTTTTATGCTCCCTCAAATAGTAAGACCACAAGAGCGAGGCGCAAGCTGCTCCCCCCACTGCCGTGGAGAACGCCGCACACCCTCAGGGGCCCAGGGCACTGTCATCCCCACAGCAGTGCACCAGGAGATCAGGCAGGAGTGGCAGGGAAGGAGGGCGAGGGGAGCACAGGCAAGCCAGGAAAGTGAGAGAGGCACCCACACATGAAGGCCCCCAGCCAGGAGCAGCCAGCACTAGGCCCGTGGGGGCCGGTCGCTGAAAACCAGAATCCAGGAGAACAACAAAGAGTAGGAAAAGGACTGGGGCTAGAGCGATAGCACAGCGGGTAGGGCGTTTGCCTTGCACGCAGCTAATGTGGCCGACCCGAGTTCGATTTCTCCACCCCTCTTGGAGAGCCGGCAAGCTAACCGAGAGCATCTCGCCTGCAAAGCCTGGCAAGCTAGCCGTGATGTATTCAATATGCCAAACACAGTAACAATTGTCACAATGGAGACGTTACTGGGCCCGCTCGAGCAAATCAATGAACAATGGGAGGACAGTGACAGTGACAGCGAGGAAAAGGACTTAGCAGGGTCCAGAGACACGGCACAGAGGGAAGGTCCTGCATCCCATAGGGGAAACCTGAGCCTGACATGAGTGATCCCTGAGCACAGAGCTAGGAGTAAGCCATGAACACCATTGGGCATAGCCTCCAAACAAACAAACAAACTAAATAGTGAACTGGAAGGCAGTGGAGGGTAAGGCCAGCAAGTGGCCCTCTGACCGTCTCAGGAGCTGCAAGAAGGGGCGCTCAGGCTGTAGCTCTGAACACACAGCCACGTGGCTAGCTGGACAGAGTATCTCCCATGAGACTGGCTCACGTGGACGGTCAGCAAGCAGCGGGCCCTGAGACTGGCTTCATGACAACCTCACCAAGCATTTTCTTGAAAGCGGCTGGACCCCTCAGGTCCAGTGCTGGCAGAGGCCACCCTACACCTCCCAGCACCCCAGCAGGTACTCAAGACATTTGAACAAAGCCTCGTTTTGGCTCAACATGACCCTGATTCCAACGGTGTAAGAAAGGAGTGATGGGGCTGGAGAGATAGCATAGCGGGCAGGGCGTTTGCCTTACATGCGGCCGACCTGGGTTCAATTTCCAGCATCCCATATGGTCCCCTGAGCACCGCTGAGTGCAGAGCCAGGAATAACCCCTGTGTATCGCCAGGTATGACCCAAAAAGCGAAAAGAAAGGAAGGAAGGAAGGAAGGAAGGAAAGAAGGAAAAAAAAGAAGGAAGAAAGGAAGGAAAGGAGTGAGTAGACTGTTTCCTGCGAGCCCTGCGAGGCTTCCTGCAGTGCCGAAAGGACAGACAGTCCCCACAGTCCAGGGGTGCTATGCCAAGGCGGTGTGAGAACAGAGCTGCCAGGAGAGAGCGGACAGCAGCTACAGCACCCAATTCTGCCCACAGGACTCTGTGAAGAATGTTTCACAGACAGCAACGTAAGGCAATGAACTAGCTGAGGTCGGGGGCTGCTCTGGGCAAATCTAGCTGGAGAATCTGAAGAGTCTGACCAGCTGGGAACGTTGGTACCAGGAAATGTGCCCTGGTGACATTGCGGGACTGAAACCCAATCATGAACAACTTTGTAACTATACCTCACGGTGATCTGTAAAAAGCCTCCAAACATCCCATAGGTGTACAAGCATCGGCCTGGAGGTGGGAGGCCAGAGTACGCTGTTGGGGTGCAGACTCTGTGCTCTGTGCCCGGGACGCCTGGCGCCACATCGAAAGAGCACCCTGCAGTGAGCCCTGCCCCAGAGGCCACCTGGAAAGCATGTGCTGACCCCAACAACAGGGGGACACAGACTTTGCTCGTGCAAGCCCTCGAGTCCAGTCCTGGCCATGCATGGCACGCTGAGCCCCTGACCACAAGCCCACCCTATCAGGCTGTGTCACCACCAAATGGGCCAAAGGACAGGACACATGGCCAACCTCAGGACCGACACTGCCCTCGGCCCTCCGACCCCCCACCCCAGGGCAGTGCCACACACGCGGTGGCTGGTGGGAGCGCTGCACAGTGCTCAGGAGCAAGTCAGTGCTTTCCTATGAAACCCAAAGCCAATATACCAGGCTGCCGTAATCCACTCTCCACCCTGAGGCATTTGCCCAGGCAGAGGGAGGCCCAGGTTCCCAGCATCTGCGTGTGAGCGCTGGGTACAGGCGCCCAGAGGGGCAGGCACCAGGTGGGGCTGTGGGGCTGCTCCGGGGCCCTGCCAGGGGCTCAGGGCCTCCATTTCTTTCTCAGGGGCTCCATTTCTTCCTCTGCTTGGGAAGCTCAGACCTGGAATCCTGAGGCAGCTCTGTGCAGTGTGAGCGCCACGTGCCGCCTGTTGTCTTCCTGCGCAGTGCAAGCAGCCACATGCCGCCTGCCGTTTTCCCCGCTCAGTGCGAGCTGCCACGTGCCGCCCACTATCTCCCACGCACAGTGCTGCCCAGGCCCTGGTGTCTGTCCCTGATCTGAAACCCCACTGGCCAGCAGTGTGTCTCTGGGATAGAGGAAGGTGCCCCCCACCCCCGGCAGGCTGTGCCAGGCTCCCTGTACCCCCGATGCCAGGCTCACCGGCCAATCTCGGACTTGCAGATGAGCTCAAAGCTGTACTCCTTGGCCTTGGTGGGCTTGAAGATCACGTCGAGCTGCAGAGTTTCCAGGGGCAGAATCGTCCCAAAACCATCACTGGGCTGAATGTCCACAAACTGGCCAGCAGGAACCGTGGAGGAGAGCAAAGACACAGATTGCTTGCGAGTGCCACAGGGCAGAGCTCCTGAGAGCGCAGGGTGAGCGAGCGTATGTGTCACGAGGTACCTGTGTGAGCACATATGTCCGTGATACCTGTGCACGTGTATGAGCACACATGTGCCATGAGTACCATGTGAGCATGAGAGTGAATGTGAGCCTAGATGTGCCGTGAGCACTTATGTGAGCTTGTGTGAGTGTATGTGAGCATTCATGTTCCATGAGAGCTTATAAGAGCATGTGTGTGAGTACAAAAGTGCCACGAGTGCTTGTGCAAGTCTGTGAGAGTGTAAGCAAGCATGTGCAAGCATACGCCATGAGTACATGTGAGAACATGTGTGAGTGTATGTGAGCACGCATATGCCACGTGTGTGAATATGATCATACATTCACCATGGGTATCTGTAGGAACATGTGTGCTATGTAAGTATGCATGTCATTAATACCTCTGTGAACATGTGCGTGAGAAAGTGTGTACCATGAATCCTTATTGGAGCATGTGTGTGAATGCACGTGTGCACATGTCTATGTGTGCACCTACATATGCGAGCATGTTTACACCTGTTGTTTATGTTTCTATGTGAGCATGTGTGCATGTGGGTTTGTAAGTACGACACATGCACGTCTGTGTCTGCATCATACGCACACTTGTGTGTGCCTGTGAGCCAGCATATAGGAGTGGATGGGGCATGGGGCAGTGCAGGGAGGAGTAAGGGAACCTGATCTGGGACCCTACAGACTGGAGTGGTGAAGTCTTGGGTTCTGGGTCTGTGCCAGGATGGAGAGGGAGAAGGCAGAGGAGGAGAGAGGGGGCAGAGAAGGGAGGAGAGTGAGGGATGGAAGAGAGGGAAAGAGGAGGAGAAGGATAGGAGATGTGAGGGTGGGGAAGGTGGGAGAATGGGAGAGGGCAGGGATGAGGCCAGCAGAGCGGTGTGGGCACAGCAGCACAGAAGAGGGATGAGCAGGGGATGGAGGCATTGAGGAGCACTGAGCTAGGGTGGTGTCTGGGGAGGGACAGGCTGCCCCGTGGTGGCCACAAGACCTGGGCAGCAGCTGGACGGGCCTTGACCAGAGAGTCCTGGCTCTGCCCGCAGCCCCCTCTCCCTCTCCCTGCAGCAGGAGGCACCTGGGGGAGCCCGACAAATCCAAACTCCTGGGGCAGGAGGGAGCAGTTACAGAGGTTGATCTCAGCTCTGATGGCTTCATAGATGGTGCAGTAGCCGAAGTCCACCACTGAGGGGCTCAGCTGCAGGTCTGATGTGGTGACGATGGCGTGGACCGTGAACTCCACGGGTCTGATCTGAGGAGCAAAGGGCACAGCTGGTCATTCATCAGCAGTTCATGCAGCTGTCACCACCACCCAGTGCTGGAGAGGAGGTGCCCGAGAGGAGGGAATGAGCTTGCACATGTGTACATGGACACACAATCAGACAGCCAAGCAGGCACAGGCAGGGGGCAGGGGGATGGCGCTAAGGGGCAGAGTCTGCCTCCTTGGGAACTGTTCAGCTCCCAGAGATCTCCCAGAAGACCCCCACTGCATCCCAGGAAACACCCGGTACAGACCTGGTCAGCCACCCTGATGGTCATCGGGGCCTCCAGAACTCTGCTCTCTTTGTCAAAGTACTTCCCCGCGTCCTCTGGGAGAGAGTGTCTGGAAGAGGTGTGTCAGGAGCTCCTGCACCTCACTAAGCCCGACCCCAGGGGTCTGAAGCAGGTGGTGGAGGGAAGGGGAGGGGGACACTGAGAGCTGCCACCCCCCTCGCACCGCCCAGGGGCACCCGTGCCTTCGCTCCTCCAGAGCGTGTACACGGTGCATGCATGTGGAACCCTAAAACGGCACCATCACTTAAAGCCAGTTTTCTTTCTGGGACTGGAGCGATAGTACAACAAGTAAGGTGTTCGCCTTGCACGCAGCTGACCAGCTGACCAGGGATTGATCCCCTGAGCACTGCCAGCAGTGATTCCTGGGCACAGAGCCCTGAGCGTCACCAGGTGTGGCACACACCCACAAAAAAAGTTTTCTTAAAATTTCCTGAAAGGGAGTTAAGTTGGTAAGAAATGTCAGGAGAAGGCAAAGGGGTTCCTGGGGATGGAGGCCGCATGGTGGACAGGGCCCTGCGTTCACTGCGTCCTGGTACTGCGTGGTCCTTGGGTGGCCTTGGAGTGCCTGAGCCCCCAGGAAAGAGAATCGAAGACAAGGTCAAGACAAGAAAGGAGAGACAGAGCACCAGGCCCTAATGGTGCGAGGACTTGGTCACTCTGGCTGTGACTAGGGGCAGAAGGCGGTACTGGCGGGGGGCAGCCGCAGACCCAATGTGTGGCATCAGTCTCAAAGCACAGGCCAGGGGGAGGAACAGTCTCGGAAGTGACAAGAGAAGGATGCAGGTCCCCCTAAGTTGTGGGGTCACCTCATGGCACGAGCAGCAGGCATGCACGGTCGCTGCGGAAGTGGAGGAGTGGACAACTCAAGCTCCAGGAAGGCCAGGTGGTCATCAGCATGAGGGGCAGGGCATGAGAACAGTAGGCCTGACAGTCACTCCCCTGCCTGCACGCACATGCAAGCACACCCACACAACATATGCACACACATGCAGGCACATACACATGTAAGCACACAGACATGCACACACATGCACAAACATGCTAGTCACACACATCCACACACATGCAGGCACACACCAGCCATGCATGCAGGAATATACATGCAGACATATATATGCGCACACATGCAGACACACACATGCACACACATGCAGGCACACACATGCAGGCACACATTCAGGCAAATACATGCAGGCATACACATATGCATACATGCAGGCACACACACACGCAGACATACACAAGCATACACAGACAGGCACACACTCACCGTGGCAGGAACTTGAGCTGCACCGAAAAAGACGATAGGGCCTGGATGTAGCCCATCTCGGGAAGAAGCTCGAAGTGGGCCCTCAGCTCCTTGCACACTTCCAGCTTCAGGCGCAGGGCCACTTTGGACCTGAGGGCCGCGAAGTCCCAAGTCAGTCAGTGATGGCAGGACTCATCTCCACGTATCCCTCAGGCCTCAAGGGCGCTGCTGAAAGGCAAGCCCAGGAAGGGTGCTCCCTGCTCAGGGCCTCAACGCCCTCGGAGATGGCCATGTTTCCCGGAAGACCTGGCTGGCAGGCGCAGGGTGCGGGCATGTGCCAGCCAGGCTCCGCATTTCTCCAGACCGGGGGTGTGCTGTGGACAGCGCTGGCCTCACAGCCCTCAGCAGTAGGTCTGCATGATGGTTGGGTCCCTGGGAGGGCCGAGCCACCAGCCCCTGGCCTCTAGCACAAAGCTCTTCCATTCTCCGCCGGCCAGGGTTTCTGCTAACCCAGGGCCTAGGGACCCCTCCCAATACTTGCTGCACCCACCACAGGCCCTGAAGCCAGTCGGCTGGGCTACAGGAAGGAAGGGCAGGGGCTGATCCTCTCCCATGGCCACCCAGAGTCCCTGGGCCTTCCTGCACTGGTGCTGGTCCCCACTGCACATGTCTGTGCTGGCTCGGGGGTCCCCAGCATCTCACTCGCTCCTGGGCCCAGAAAATTGGCCAAATTAAGCAGAACCAGAAATCACCCTACAAAGCCCACTGTGAGTCAGCTGAGGAGAGGGGCTCTGGCTGACCCTGCTCCACCCCCAGGTTCCCAGGGAGGCTGGACTGGCATAGGAGGACTGGTCCTACTGACCCAACCCATCGGCGCTCCCAACCCAGAGTATAGCATCAGACACCCCAGAAGGCCCCGGCTCACCGCGTTTGGATCAGGATGGAGGTCTGGTACAGTCGGTCATACATGCAGATCTTCAGGTCCACTTCAGGGTCCGGCACCCAGACGGGGACATCCACAGCAGTGCCAATGGCGCTGAAAAGGAGCTGAGATGGACGAGCAGACTCAGTAGCCATCCTGTCTGTCAGCTTCGAGTGGACACAAACTCAGTGGCAGAGTCTATGTTACGCTACTAAAATGGGAAGGCTGGTCACCAAACTGCCATGGTTTAGAGTTCTGTGGCACTACTCAAGATTACCAGAGTGAAAGTCCCTGGGGCAGGGGCTGAAGAGATAGCACAGCAGGTAGGGCATTTGCCTTGTATGCGGCCGACCTGAGTTCGATTCCCAGCATCCCATGTGGTCCCCTGAGCACTGCCAGGAGTAATTCCTGAGTACAGAGCCAGGAGTAACCCCTGTGCATCGCCAGGTATGACCCAAAAAGCAAAAAGCAAAAAAAAAAAAAAAAAAAAAAGAAAGTCCCTGGGGTGGGAGAGAGAATCTACACATAGCCAGCCTGCATTCGATCCCCGGCAGCCACAGAGTCCCTCGAACCCCACTAGGAGTCATCCCTGAGCACAGATGGGGGCTGTCCAAAACCAAATAAAAATCCTTTTAATTGCCAAGATTTTCAAAGAACAAAGTAGGATGATGGAAGCCTTCTGTGCAGGCCATGCAGCACCAAAGGGTCCAACCCTCCTCTCCCGACTCTGCCAGGGCCAGCCCAGGAGAAGGGGCAACTCGGCCCTTCCAGCTACTCTCTATCCAGGTGGGCCAGGAGCACGTGTGTACGCATTGCAGCTGCCCAGGAGCAGCCTACTGGGGCCATAGACGCCACCCACAGACACCCATCATGGGCAGAGCTGTCCCCAGGAGCCCATGAGCAGGGTGGGGGAGGAAGGAAGACCCTATTTGAGCCAACACCTCAGCTGCTACATGCTCAGCACAAGGGCCCTGAAGGTCCTGCTGAGCACTGCAGGGCTGTGTGGGGTATGGTGGGGTACACTGGTGTACAGTGAGCTCTGTGAGGGACTGCAGGGTCATGTGACCTAGACCCGAGGGAAATGAAATGAGGGAGAGTGACCTGAGAGCCGCACAGGCAGACGTGGGAGGAGCAGGGCTGATCTGGGCACTCACCTGTCTGCCCCAGGAGGCTCAGGGAATACCTGGCCAGATTTCTCGTTGGTTTTGGTTTCTGGACAATACACCAGTCTTAGTGCTTAGGGCTCACCTGGGGACGGTGCAGTGCCCATATTCCAGTGTTTCCCCTGCTCTTAGCAAATTTCCAAGTTTTCAGATCAAATTCTGAGGGGCCACAGATGCTCTCTGTGTGTGAGACCTAGGGTTTGATTCCCAACAGCACCAGGAGACAAGAATATAAAAGTAAAATGTCTCATCATCTTGGAGTGCAATTTTGCACATATTATTTTTGATTTTGTTGAGTTCTGGAGCCACACCGCAGTGTGTAGGACTTAGTCCTGGCTCTGCACTCAGGAATCAGTCCTGCTGGGTTCAGGGGACTGTGGGATTCTGGGGATTGAACCTGGATAGGTCTTGGGCAAAGCAAGGCCCTATCCACTGTACTATCTCTCTGGCCCTTCATATGTGTATCTGGAAGCCCACTCTGCAGTGCCTGGGGCTGATGGTGCTGTGACTAGACCTCAAGAAGCAAGAAGCTGGGGCTGTATCTGGTGGTGCCTGGGGGCCACACGCTGAAGGGGTCAACCTTGGGGCCTTTTTTTTTCTCTTTGGGTCACATCCGGCGATGCACAGGGGTTCCTCCTGGCTCTGCACTGAGGGATTACTCCTGGCGGTGCTCAGGGGACCATATGGGATGCTGGGAATCGAACCTGGGTCAGCCGCGTCCAAGGTGAACGCCCTACCTGCCGTGTTATCGATTCATCCCCCGACCTTGGGGCCCTGGACACACAGATGTGCTCCCACGCTTTGAGCCTCCCCATGATGCCTGAGGCTGTCCAGGTGGAGATGGACACTGGGCGTGACCAGGGGCAAGACCGTCTCCTCCCATGATGGCTGCACAGGAAGCAGCCGTGGGTACTCACTGCCTGGCACTGCTGATTCTTGAACAGGATCTTGAACTTGGCTCTGACCACTCCAGGGGTAGCTGGTGTGAAGATGATAGGCACTCTGACAGAGCAGAAGGGGTCGATCTTGCCCTCTCGGACCTGCACAGCCAGAGAGAGGCCACGCTGCCTGAGTGCCGCGGCGGGCCCCGCAGCCTGGCCCCTCTGCCAGCTTCAAGCCTGAGTCTCGCTTGGCCTGTCCAGAGCTTTCTGCCCCGAGTGGCCGGGTCAGCTGGAGGGCCATGCCATGCCCGGGTTGGGGGTATCTGTTGGAGGTGGCCTGCTGACCTCTCCCAGTGAGATTTCGACTCGGTCCTCGCTCTGGGGAGACATCACGAAGGTGGTGGTCATCATTTCATCCGATTCTGCAAGAGAGACTCATGTGAGGGCAGCTGCACAGGCCGTGATGGGACCCCCTGTCCTCCACCCTGGGGCACTGGGGGCTATCCTGCCCTCTCCTCCCTCTCAGGGGCCAATTAATGCATTTGGAAAAGGACCTCCTGTCCCTCCCTGCTCTGTGGCTCTGAGCTTTGCTGAGGAGGAAGCTCCCAGCATTCCTGTTGGTCTCCTCCCTCCGGGAGGGGGTCACCAGGTAGTAATGGCCAGGCTGTCTCTCTCTGACTGATGGGCAGGCCTGAGGCTCTCAGGAGGACACCACCTGAGATGTCCTCATCCCCCTGTGGGGGATGGTGTGGGATCAGAGAGATGCGGACTATGGAGTGTAAAGCAGTCAGCAGGAAGGATGAGGGTGTGAGAAGGCAAGTCTGTCCTGATGGCGGGTGTGGGGAAGGAGTGTCTGTGGGAAAGAGGTTCTGTGGGGTCTGTGGGAAAGGACGCTGCACACGCCTGACTCCTGGCCCTCCAGTGTGCAGGTCCTTGGCTTTGAGCAGCAGCTGTCCTTCCCCCAGCAGGCTCAGCTTCTCCACAGGAACTGCTTCCTCCCCGTGGCGGATGCTCAGCAGCGAGGGACAGTCCCCGGTCTCTCCGGGGACTATTTGTCCCTCTCTAGGTGTGTTTCGCTTCTCTTGCCCTCACACACACATGCAGCCTCTGAGGGCCCTGTTCATGGCCGGGAGACCGGCATAGCCCCACACAGCAGCTGCGGGGCTCAGCCGGGGCTCCTACAGAGCTGCTCTGTGACCCTCCCCGGGGCTCCCAGCGGGTCTATGTGAGGCTCTGCTCAGAGAGAGGCTGTGAACCCATGGCAGCTGAGGTCAAGGCCATCTCATCCGACTCCAGCCACACCCCCTTCTTCCTGCCACAAGATCCAATCCAGCAAAATCATCTTTACAGAGTTGTTTTCTCTTTGTTTTGATTTGGTTTTTTGGAGCGCAGAGGCACACTCAATGGTGCTCAGGGCTTACTCCTGGCTCTGTGCTCAGGGATCACTCCTGACAGGGCTCCGGGAACCATATGGGGTGCCAGGCAGCTGTGACCCTCCCTGGTTGGCCCCGGTTGACTGTGTAACACTGTTCTTCTCGCTGTGCTAAGGCTCTGGGCCTCTTTTGCTTTCTTTGTTATGATTGCGAAAATGATGATGAGTGACAGTATAGTGGTAGGGCATTTGCCTTGCATGCAGTGGACCTGGGTTCAATTCATGGCATCCCATTTGGTCCCTGGAGCACTTCCAGGAGTAATTCCTGAGTACAGAGCCAGGACTAACACTGATGCGACCCAAAAAGGAAAAAAAATTATGTTTTCCGGTAATTTTTGTTTTGGGGCCACAGCAGTTGACTCACTTTGAAAGTGCTCGGGGAAGCATGTGGTGCTGAGGACTGAGCTCAGGGCCCTGCATGAGAAGCCTTGCACAGCCCACTGGAGTTAGCTCCCTGGCGGGGGAGAGCTCAAGGCCATACCAGTGAGCACACAGGCTGTCCATGGGTGCCCCACAGCCCAGGCAGATGGTCCCCACTGGGGCAAAGTGGTTCCGTAGGTGCATGTGTGGTCCCTGTCTTAGGGTCTCGTCAAAGGCCCAGGAATTGTGTTAGAAGGAACTGTGCAAGTTCCGATCCATTCCGCAGCCAGCACATTTTGCACACATAGTTTAAATATATGGGTGCTTTCCTATCTCCTATCACCAAAAGTCAGAACCCTAGAGGAACAGAGACCCGGCCAAGCATCATGGTGGTAGTGGGATGGCCCCAGCAGCCCTCTCCCCCGCACCCCTCACCAGAAGAGCTCTTCTCCTCCTGGTCCCTGCTGTCCAGTTTTCCCAGCCCCCTTGGGATGAACATATTGTCAGTGAAGAGTTCAGGTGCCTCTGAAAAGTTCTCAGAGTAACTGGTGATTTTGTCATAGAGAGCTTTCTCTTCATATCCAAACGGGTTAGTCTGCAGAAGAGAACATGGACCTTTATGTTTGTTTCTTTGGGGGTCACAACTCAGGACCTGGCAGAACTGAGCTGCGGCTGGGGCCTGCTCCAGGTCCTGTCTAGACCACAGTCCTGCCTCTCGCAGAGGCTAAAGCCTGACCCTCTGCCTCACTCCCTCGAGCCCAGCTGGGCATGCCCCACTCTGTCCTGCAGAGACTGACGCTGGTATGGAGTCTGCTGTGTGCTGGGCCAGGCCCTGTCTGCGGGCCCTGTCCAGCTGACCATTCTCCCTGTCCATTTCTCTCAGTGCTGGGGAGCCTGGTTCTTCCTGCCCCACTGCCACAGCAGGCCCTGGCTCAGCCCTGTCCCTGCGGGCCTGTGAGCTGCCCTGGTGCCACAGGCTGCCACCCACCGTCTCCTTTCCTACATCACCATTGGGTGACTGAGTCTGCCACCTACGACTCAGATCCCGGGGACAGCGAGGGCACTGGGGATGAAGTTCCACCCTTGGGACTTCATCCGTTGGCCACAGGGCCTTGCTCCCAGAGCGCCAGAATAGCCTGGGCCTGAGTCCCATCCTGCCCCTTCAGCCACCGCCCACTCTGATCCATTTGCCCTGCCCCTGCCTCTGCCTTCTGGGGGGTCCATTCTTCCCTGGAGGAGCTTTCGAGGGAGGGCATTTGCAAAGACCCTTAATCCTGTGGACAGCTTCCACTCCAGCATAACCACTAAATGACCTGCAGTTCTACTGACGGGGCAGAAACCATCTCGTGGGCCCCTAGAAGCGCAAGGCCCCTTCCACCTGCTAAGCTGAAACACACAGGAGGCTGGGCACCTTCCAAGAAGTCGTAGACATGAGGTGACCGTTTGGTCTTCAGGCCAAGCCACTGGCGGAGGGGGTCCTTGGGACCCTCAGCTCCCGTCTGTCCCCACATGCCCCAAGGGGGTCCCCGCACCTCCCCCCAGACTGGTGAGTGTCCTGGCACCCGCACACTCACAGCTCTCGCGTCCAGCTCACAGAACTCTGACTCTGGGAGGATGATGAAATCCGTGGCCAAGCCCCCGACGTTGGTCATTGTGATGACACGCGTTACTGTCTCACCCACCACATAGCTGCCGAAGTCGATGAGCTGCTTGTCCAGTTTCAGCTGCCAGGGAAGCCCAGAGAGCTAGGAGCAGGCAGCGGAGCTGTCCTCCCTACCGGGGCACCCCCACTGCTGCCTTAACTCTGGCTGACACTCTCCAGGTGAAAGAGGTGTGGCCTCTGCTGCCTCTGCTCAGACCACGGTGACATCCACAATCCCAAGTTAGAGATCTCTGCACGGCTATGGTGATTTGGGGGCAATCTAAGTCTGACTCTTCAATATCAAGCCAGCTAAAGAGGAATGAGCTATAAGCCACACATGTGGACAAACCTTAAGTGTGTGTGTGTGTGAATAATAAAGAAGCAGCCTGGAAAGGCTGTGCCCTGTGGGGGTAAAGGTAGAACCAGGGAAGGATGAAAAGATTAGTTGTATTTTATTAAATGTTTCAACAGAGCAAGATGAAACAAACATCAACACTTCACAGCTATGTCACATTACCAAAATACAGAAAGCTGAAGGGATGCTTTAAGTGCTCCTCTTAAATAACAGCCAGAACAGCCAGACAGACAAGGACGGAAGAACCAGATGGAAACAAGGAAGGCTCGGGAGAGTTGAGGAGAGGAGAAAGAACCCAGAGCACCACCAGGCAGTTGAAGGCTGTGGAAGACTCCAAAGACACAGGTCAACCAGATCTAACGCTGACAGGCCTGAGGCCCACTCAGCACACAGTCCTGAGGACACATGGCATACTCTCCGGAGTGGACAGATTAGGAAACTAAAGATCGGGCTAGAGTGATAGAACAATGGGTAGAGCATTTGCCTGGCATGTCGCCGATCCAGGTTTGATCCCTGGCATCCCACGTGGTTCCTTAAGCACTACCAGGAGTAATCCCTGAGCACCACCGGGTATGGCCCCCAAACAAACAGACAAAAAGAAATATAAAGATTTTTGGGCTGGAGAGAAATGTAGCAAGGAGGGCACTTGCCTACATGACCTACTGGGTTCAACCTCCAGCACCCCCTTTCGTCCCCTGAGTCCCACCAGGAGTGATTCCTGAGTGCAGAGCCAGAGTAAGCCCTGAGCATCGCCAGGTGTGGCTTTGAAACTAAAAAAAATATATATTAAAATTTAAAAAAGGAGAAAGAAATAAAATCCAAACCCTAACTTTATAATTTAAGGAAATAAAAGAGGTAGATTAGTAAGAAGGAAATGACGCTGACTAGAGAAAGTAGTCTTCAAAGGCTGGTCTGCAGACCGGTGTTGATGGGTGTAAAGTGGATTAAAAACAAAGTCGGCTGCAGTAGATAAACTGCCACTTACAAACAGATACAGGACAGATACAGGTATGGGGCAGACGCGGGTATGGGTCAGATGTGGTTCTGCAGCTATGAAAAGTCTGAAGAAAGTTTGACTAGGACACAAGTACATAAAACAATATAAAAACAATAAAAATAAGCAATAAACTCAACTAGTTGATTCTTTAAAAAGATAAACCAAGTGAAAAGGCCCTCCTGTTGATCGTCGATTTGCTCGAGCGGGCCCAGTAACGTCTCCATTGGAGACTTTGTTGTTACTGTGTCTGGCATATCGAGTACTCTCGGTAGCTTGCCGGGCTCTCCGAGTGAAAAAAACCAAGTGAAAAAAATCTTTTAACTGGATGGACAGAGACTGACTCTAGGGAAATGCAGCATGAAATAGGGACATCACACTCTATAGTCCTCAGACACAGAGAGGGGATGGCAGTCACCACAGTGGGGGTAAAGGGTGGACAGCGTGAGAGAAGGTGTCAAAAGGCACAAGCCCCCCCAATTCTAAGTCAGGGAAGTTTAACTGCAATTCCAGCCTGAGGAAAGAAGGCCCAGGCCAGGCTAGAGCTGCCTGAAGCGAGTCTCCGCAAAAACCCCGCCTCCGGCTCTGACCCGAGGGGCCCTACCAAGGAGCCGCCCCGCTATGCCCATTCTTGTCTCAGCTGCCACACGTCAGTCACCCACTCCCACCCTGGGCTCCCCACCCCGGGCCCCCAACCTGGCTTAGATATCTTTGAGCTTACAGAACATTTCTTTGTGGAACACTTCAGTGGGACAGAAAATCTGCCAGTCTGCGCCAGAAAGGAGACGCTCCCTTCCATATCTTTGTTCACCTGGAAAAGTCCAACAGCCCCGGCCCATGGACATCTGTCCACTGACCCAGCACCCAAGGGAGCACACACAGAACCAAAGCCTAGGTCCTGCTGCCCACTGCCTGCTGCACGGTAAGCTCCAAGGACAGGCCTGTGGCTGTGCCTCATGAGACCTGTTGGCACATTCTGATGAGCCTCATTTAGGCAGAAGGGCACATCTGGTCCAGATGACCAGGACCCACAGGGCTCCAGGGTTCGGGAGTGTGTTGGATATATTCCAGAGAGCCAGGCAGAGGCCCTTGCACCCTCCCGAGGTGCTCCCTCCCCGTAAGGGTGTTGCAGAGCCGAGCAGCAACAGGAAACTTTCTCCCACCCCCGAGAGAAAGAGCGGAGCCTCACTCACCAGGGGCTTGAAGGTGACGAGCACTTCACAGGACATCCCAGCGGACATGGGACCAGGGGGGTCAAAGCTGCAGGCACAAGGACCCCCAGCACGGTCAGATCCCCAGGTGAGGATTAGAGGCCAGGGACGGTCCTCTCCAGGGTCTCCCTCCTCCAGAGCCCGACAGGGACCCTCTTGGCAGCACGGGGAGGCAGGTCCTCCAGAAGGCCTCTGGAGCCAGGCCCCGACACGCCGCTTGAAAGCAGATAGTCATTTTGAGAATGAAAACACGTCAGGAAGGGTGTTTGCCTGCACACTGCCCATCCAGGTTTGCTCCCTGGCACCCCAGATGGTCCCCTGAGCTCACCAAGAGTGATCCGTGAGTGCAGAGCCAGAAATAAGCCCTGAGCACAGTCAGGTGTGGCCCAAATATAAACAAACCAAGCGCTGGGAACATAGCTCATGGGGTAGAATACACACCAAGCACATGGACCAGAGAACCTGCAGCAAAGGGCCACTGGAAACACAAGCCAAATGGGTGCAGGGCACATGAGCAGAAGAAAGGAGGGACTGCCCAGAAAGAGGAGAGGGACTGCCCAGAACACAGTGGGGAAGGGGAGAGGGACTGTCCAACACAGTGGGGAAGGGGAGAGGGACTCCCCAGGACACAGTGGGGCTCATCAGGGGAAAATGGGGGAAATAAGAAAGAGAAGAAAGCATTAAGGGGGCCAGAAGGGGGCCAGAGCAATAATAAGGCAGGGAGGGCACTGGTCTTGCACACGGCCAGCCCGGCTTTGATCCCCAGTACCCTATACAGTCCCCTAAGCACAGAGCCAGCAGTAGCCCCCAAACAAACAAAACAAAGTGAACAGAAAGACAATTACAGCCATACAGAAAGATCCATCTTATGCTCAAGTGGGGTCTCCAAAGAGAAAATTGAAACATTGGAACAGGTGAAGAATTTAGAGCTGAAGGAAGTAACCCTGGAGTAAAAGATGGCGTCAGGGTTGGGGAGGACCTGGGAAGGAGGAGAGCAGAAGCCTTGCATGCGGAGTCCTGAGTCTCTCCCTGGCACCAAATGTTCCCCTGAGCATCACTGAGTGTTGATGGCACTGGTGCACAGTAGCAGCACTGAAACCAAGTGCTGCCAGAGGGGCCCTGGCTCCTGAACACTGGAGAGACGCCCCTACCCAAAGAAACATAAACAGAGACAGCTCCAATATTCAGATAGAAAAGATGTGTGGCTACCAGGGAAGTCTTAGCTGCAATGGTCCACAACACACTAGCCAAGCGTTTATGTGGGCAGCAGAGCTGGTCTCAGACAATCGCAGCTCAGAGACAGTAGGCACAGCACCTTGGGATACAGCCCTGGGTTCAAACTGGGGCAGTCCTGGGTTCACACCAGGCAGAGTTGGGATCACACCGGGCAGTGTTGGGACCACACTGGGAGAGCTGCGATTACACTGAGCAGTGTTGGGTTTAAACCATACAACCATACATGGCTTGTTTTTTTCTTTGTTTGTTTTGTTGTTGTTTGTTTTCTTTTTTTTTTCTTTTCGGGTCATACCCGGCGATGCTCAGGGGTTACTCCTGGCTTTGCACTCAGGAATTAGTCCTGGTGGTGCTCAGGGGACCACATGGGATGCCGGGAATCGAACCCGGGTCGGCCGTGTGCAAAGCAAATGCCCTACCCGCTGTGCTATCACTCCAGCCCCACACATGGCTTGGTCTAACCCAGTGTTGTACTCACACTAGGCACAGGTCTGGGTTCACAACAAGCACAGTGTTGGGTTTATGTTGGGCACGGCATTGGGTTCACACCAAGCATGGTGCTGGGTTCACACCGGGCAGTGTGTGCACAGTCTCTGGACTGTCTGAGCGGGAAGGGCTGAGGACACCTACTGGATGTGAATGAAATCCCGCAGGTGCTCCTCCACACCCTCCAATCTGCAGTAGTTGATGGTGTAGGTGGCGTTGATCAGCGTGATCTTTTTCTTGTACACTTTGCCAACGTCAAAGTCCTAGAAAGATCAGAGAAGCCCTCGAGGCTTCCCGAAGACCACTGCTGAGCCTGCCAAAGCAGCTGCGGCTGTGAGCAGAGGCCGCCCCTACACACCGGTGCTAATCTAACGGTTATGAATGGTGGCAAAGATGCCAGGCCATGGTGCCACAGAGCAACCCAGAGGCATGACTGAATGGGAGTCGTCCCCATCACGGTCGAAAGGGACTTCTGGGACCCAGAGTTGGAGTCCAGGTAACAGCTCACATGACCGAGGACACCCACCCTCTTGGCTACCCACCCCTTGTGGCCCCACCGGAGCCACGGAGCCACGTCCCTGGGTGAGAGCCTCAGGCCGAGCTCCGGGATGGGAGGCTCAGGAGTGCTGCCCCACCCGCCTCACCTTGAAGTGAATGACTTTGGGTTTGCTGTTGAAGGGGCAACCTTTGAACTCTCGACCTGACACCACCTGCTTGTGGACCAGCCCACTGCGTAGCTTCTCCAGGGTGCGGGCCAGGATGTCTTTTTCCATCTTTGTCCCACCCACGGGCTTCCGGTCCATGTCTTCTTTGGGTGCCTGGGTTCATAAGGATAGGGGCGTCATGCAGGCCTCCTTCAGGGCCACATGTGTCAACACAGAGTCAAAGGCCACAGCGGAAGGGGAGTGCAGGCCACTGTGCAGGCCCATGGCAATGAGGTGGGAGGGCCTTTCTGCAGGGACAGGGACCATGAGTGGCAGAGCAGTGATAGGTCCAGGTCACCAGGCTCCTAGATCAAGAGCAGAGGAATTTTCTATGTTTTTCAATCAGGCCAAGATAAAGTCTTTTTTTTTTTTGTTTTATTTTAGGGCCATGCCCAGCGATGTTCATGGGTTACTTCTGGCTTTGCACTGAGAATTTACTCCTGGAGGTGCTTGGAGAACCATATGGAATGCTGGGGATCAAACCCAGATCAGCCACATGCAAGACAGGCGCCTACCTGCTATGCTATCTCTTCAACCCAAGAGGGTCTTTTTCGTTTTGTTTTGGGGCCACACCTGGAGATGCTCAGGCAATGCCAGACTCTGTTCTCAGGGATCATTCCTTGCAGTGTTTGGGGGACAGTGTGAGGGTCCAGGGACTGAACCCCAGTTGTACTATCACTCTGGCCCTGACAAAGTCAAGAAATGCTCTATAGGAAGCAACACATTCTTGTGAGGGTTTCCCTGCCTACCAACAGTGGCTCGGCATGGTGACTAATATCTGTGAGCAGTACCTGGCTACAGGGACTGGTTAAGTCTATGTGGGCATGGTCAGAGGGTTCCCCAGACTAACAGGAGTGAGTGGGAGAGATAACTAGTAAAGCACCTAGTATGCAGCTATAGGAACTGTCTAGGTCTCTCAGCCTGGGGGTTCCAGGGCCTGCTTCCTGTGGTCAGTGTTCAGAAGTAGGCGTGTTTGAGGGATGATCTGTCATCTTCCTGGCCTGGTCAGTCACTTGTCCCCAGAACCAGCAGAATCACAGAGATCTTGTCACCCATGTGTCCCAGAGCCATGACAGGTGGGTGGTGCAAGGTGGCGCCTGGCCTTGAGTGGCCATGGCAGTACTCTGGCTTCCTGGCTCACAGCATGGTGCCTGCTGGTTTCAGAGCAGCAGGACAGAGAATTCTTGGAAAGGGGGCCCCAAGCAGCGGGGTCTCCTGCTGCAATTGTCTCCCCAACAGGGCACAGAGTAATCTGGAGCCATCTGCTCAACTCTCATTTCCTTGACTCCAGCCCTCTGGCCCTCCTGGCCCTGTGGACCTGTGTGTGGCCAATACCAAGACTGTGTGGTATGAATGAGGAGGGAGGTGGGCAGCAGCTTGTCAAAGCCGAGGAAGCCTCAGGACTGGGCTGCCTGGGTTCTGGCACACAGAGGACACAGGATGTGTACACCCATTAAAAACACTTCATGGGGACTGGTCAATGACTGGTCAGTGGTGTGGGAGATGGAGAATAGTTAAGGTAGAGGAGGGTCCATTATGACAATAGTTGGAAATAGTCACTCTGGGAAAGAACTAAGTGCTGAAAGCAGGTAAAGGATATACAGGAATACCTTTCAGCATCTGTATTGCAAACCATAAAGCCTAAAATGATAGAGAGAGAGAGAGAGAGAGAGAGAGAGAGAGAGAGAGAGAGAAAAGAGAGGTGCCTTCCATAGAGGAAGGCTGGGGTGGGGGGTGGCTTGGAGGGGTGGGAGGGAAACTGGGGATACTGGTGCTGGAAAATTATACTGGTGGAGGGATGGGTGTTGGAATATTGTATGACTGAAACCCAATCATGAACAATTTTGTAATGCTCTATCTCACGCTGATTCAATAAAAAAACAAAACAAAACAAAAAAAAAAACAACAAAAACCCCTGATGGCATCTAAAGATGAGGGATTTCAAAGCATGAGCTGCTGGGGAAGATCACAGTGGGCAACACATTTTCCTTGCAAGCAGCTGATCTGGTTCACTCCCCAGCTCTCCATAGGGTCTACACAGCCTCGCAGGAGTGATCCCTGAGCATGGAGCCAGGAGCAAGCCCTGAGCACAGCCAGGTGTGACCCCAAAATCAATGAATCAATTGAACCAAAGAGCCAAAGATGCTACCTGGCAGAGCTTGAAGTCTTCGTCCCAGAGCCCGGGGATTTCTGGCTTGGCCAGCGTCTCCTCCTCTGCGTTGAGGGGCCACAAGTCACTCTGGGCAAAGTCAGTGGAGGCAGCTTGCAGTAACTGAGAGGACTGAGGCGTCACAGAGAAGTCGTACTCCTGCGCCTAGGAAGGGGAGCAGCACGCTAACCTTGGCACAGAGACATGCCCAGGAAGGAGGGCAGGAAGCCACGTAGTGGGACACAGCACCCCTTTCCCCCACCCCTTTCCTCCTAGCGTCGTTCCTGCATGGTGCCACAGAAGGGTCTCTGGGTGTTACTCAGTCCCCTCCACCACACCCTCAGCCCACACAGGCAGGCGCAGGGACTTCTGCCTTTGCTGACAGCCCCACGTTTCTCTGCTTGGCCTGGGTGGGCTCTCCTACAGACCTACAGATCCTTTCTCATGTGCCTCTGTGCCAGCAGTTGAACACAGCTGGAGGGTGACACCCGGAGAGGGCCCTGAGAAAGACGAGGTGCCAGAGCCACTACAGGAACAGCAAGGACAGCAGAACTGAGGCTCAGAGGCTCTGAGACAGACGGAGGTGACAGGTGCCAAGCCTCCAAGGTGCCAGCAGCCATGGGGCTGAGGCCCAGGGACAGCAGAGCTGGAGCACAGGTGGGGCTGGGACGTGCAGCAGCTGTGAGTGCTGAGACCTGGGCCAGCCAGAGTCGGCCTCCAAGTTTGGGTGCCCAAGCACAGAAGCTGAAGTGCCCCCTGGAGCTCCAGGTCGACAGGCAGAGGAAAGTCCCCTCTGCGGGCATCCCTACATCCGCCACACACACAGCCACCCCCAGCACTGGGACGTGAGGCCGAGGAGCAGCAGGGGGACAAGCTTCTTTACCGGGGGACACACCTAAGTCTCCCCTGGCCCAGGACTGACCTCTGCTCACAGATCTATCCACATACCGGCCCAGTCAGTTCTGCTGCAGCAGCGCCATGATTAGGGGCCTTTCCCCGTGGCACCCAGTCTGCCCCCCAGGAGATGGTCACTTCTGGCTGCCGTCCACTCAGGAGGAGCTGTGTGGGGGTCCAAGTCCCTCCAAGGAAATCTGGGGGGACGTGCAGACCTGTGCCCATAGCAGTGGCCAGGGGAACTGGGCTGAGGAGGAGGTTGCCAGGAGCCCAGGGGAGGTGGCCTGGAGGAGGGGTCTTGCTTTGGTTTCCTGACCTGTGCCACACTCACTGGTAGGTGGACAGTGCCCGCAGGCATGGCACACCCTCTGGAGAAGTCGGAGATGTACTTCCATGTCTTGTCCCGCAGAGTCAGGCGCCTCGTGGTCTGCGCAGGCTCATGCTGCTGCTTCTTCCTGTTCTCTTCCTCGCTCTCCTCTTTCAAAATCCGACTCACGATCTCCAGCTTCCTGAGCTTCTGCTCTTCTTCAAAGGCTCTGTGGGAAAGGGGACACCTGGCAGTTGCCCGAGAATGGGGCTGGGGGTCTGGGGGGGGGCAGAGGAACTGCGGCCTGGAGGGAAGAGGCGGGGTGGGGGTGTGGAGCTCCTGCTGCTGGGCCCCTGGGGACAGACACACTTCGTGACCCCTTCGTGCCTGCTCCCAGGCCTCACTTTGTCTGGGCCTCCAGCTCCTGGCGCTTGCGCTGATGGACGAGGTGCTTGAAGGCGTCCCCACCTTGGGCCAGAATCTCCTTCTCCTCAGCCTGGGCCTTCTGCTGCGCCACATTGGTCTTGGCCTGGCTCCAGGCCTGAATCTTGCGGAGCAGTTCCTGAATACGGAGGAGACTGCAGTGACCACACCTGCACCTGTGTGAGTCCGGCCACGCGCACAGGGGACACCGAGGTGGCCCTTGACAGAATCAGTGTTCTGGCTCCCATCCCCCTCCCTGCTCTGCAACACGGGCTCTTGCCAGCTCCTGCCACTGTGCTTCCCAGCTAGGCTGTTCTCTGTGAGGAAGCTTCCTCGTGCCTCTGAGCCCTTTGCAGCACTGCGGCCCCCTCAGCCTTGGAAATGACTCAGGCTCCGGTGCCCTGGAACACTCCCCTGGAGGCAGGGCTTTCTGCTTTCTGCCCTGTGAAAGAGGGGCTGGGAGCGGATGGAGCACACGCAGAAAAGCCTTCTGCTGGGACAGACCCTTCCAGATGGTGTCCCGGGCACTAGCCAGGCTCTGAGAGGGGCGAGTGTGTGGCCCTAGGACCTACGCGGTTTGCAGTGATGTTGTTCTTCAGGGCCAGCACAGCATCCATGCGCCTCCGCATGTGCTCCTGTGATGCCAGCTCCTCCTCTCTCGTGCGCTCTCGAACCCTGCAGGAAGGTCCATGGGAGCTGGAAGGCACCAGGGCCTGCTTTCGTGTGGCCACAGGGCTGGGAGGAGCTTAGGGTGATGCAGGAGTATGTATGCGTGCATGCGTGTGGTGTTGTGCACGCGCGTGTGTGTGCGCGCAAGTGCGTGTCTACAAGGAGAGAGTTCAATAGAGCCACACGGCACTGACGGGGGTTGTGGCTGACCCCAGACATTAAGGAGCCATGGCCTCAGGTGTTCTGGGGGGATCATGCACCTTGTGGATCTTGTCTGAAAATACACTGGCAATCCGTTCAAAACGAAAAGCACAGACTCAATCTTTTGGGATGAGGAGGGTTGCATAGTAAGTGGGGGGGGGGGGGGGATGCTCCACCACAGAGGCGAAAGCTCCCCAGCCCGCGGCAGGAAGTGCTACCTGCCTAGGGTCGCCTTCAGGAACTTCACTGCCACCCTGTGGTTCCTCTGCGCGTCAGCCAGCAACTTCTGGTGCCGGAGCCCCTGCTCCTTCTGCATTTCCATAGACTTCCTGCAGCAACAGGGCGAGACGGCCACGGGCCTTGGCACATCTGCTCCAGGGACCGTGGACAGAACCCCAGAACCGCACTCTGTTCTCTCCCACCTGGAAGGAGCCCATCAGACAGGGCACAGCGGGCACACCGCAGGCAGCTCTGCCACTAAACCACCAAGAGAACACCAGAGGGAGCCTGGAAGGAGCAGGGCTGCGAACTCTGGGGAGGACAGCGCGGTGGGCGCTAAGATCCGACACTGGGTTAGACTAGGTGGGAAGTTAGAGGCCCCATCTGAAGATGGGGCTGTGGGGTGAGATGGAACTGGGAACAGGGAGGGGACTGTGGGGACCTAGGCAGGGGCACACGGGAATGCTTGCAGCCCTCTCTTGCCCTGAGATAGGGGCTGCCCTAGGGGCACTTCAAGCAAAGGCAGAGGCCAGTGGAAGAGCAGTGGACAGGAAGAGAGCGGGAGTGTCCAGGGTGGGAGGGAGGGCAGGGAGAGGGCGGGAGTGTCCAGGGGAGGGAGGGCAGGGAGAGAAGCCTCAGGACTTGAAACAAAGGCATGAGGGAAGGACCTGAATGACCAGACAACAGCAGGGCCAGCGGCCAGCTGGCTCGACAGGACAAGAAACAAAAAGGATGCCCAGGCACTGACCTGACCCTCAGCAGTTGGCTGCGTGCCTTCCTCGCCGAGGCCGCCTCGTGCTGGCGCAGCTGCTGGGCTGCCCTCACCTGGAGGCACCTGCTAGCCGCCATGGCCTTCTCATGGACAGACTTTTGGAAATCCTTAAACTTCACCTTCTGGATCTCAATGTGCCACATGGCGTTCCTGACAGATAGGAGATGCGTTTGTTTATGCTGGCAAAGGTGCTGGGACCTGGGCGGGCCATCCACGGAGCGGTCACTCTGGGAATCTGGGCGGCTGGGTACTGGGTTTTAATCACATCATCCAGGCAGACCTTGAGCACTTTTACAGGTTCATCTCCATCTCCACGGAGCCCCTGGCCTCCCCAAAACCACGCATGAGGAAGGGTATACATGGCATGGAGGGGCAGTTATCCTGGCCACGGTTGGGAGGTGACACTGGGCAAGGATTGAGGAGACACTGGGCATGGAGGGAGATAACATCAGGCATGGAGGGAGGTGACACTGGGTATGGGTGGAGGTGACACTGGGCAAGTGCAGCGGTGATACTGGGCATGGAGGAGGTGACACTGGGCATGGAGGGAGGAGATATCAGGCACAGAGAGAGGTGACATCAGGCATGGAGGGAGGTGACACTTGGCATGGGTGAAGGTAACATCAGTCATGGAGGGAGGTGACGCTGGGCATGGAGGAAGGTGGCACTGGAAATGGAGGGAGGTGACAATAACCATGGAGGGAGGTGACAATGGGTGTGGAGGGAGTTGACATCAGGCATGGAGGGGATGATGTCTGGACGGGATGACAGGGTTGGAGGAGGGGCCAGGACCCTGATGGAGGAGGGCCAGCACCCTCGGCTGAAGGGTTGTGCTTTATCAGTTCTGGGTGCCTAGTGCAAGAGCAGTGCAGGTCCCACCATCCCCACTGTGTCTACGACAAAGGGACTGTCAGAGATGCAGCATCACTAGCTTTGCAGATGACAGGAGGTGCCACCAACCAAATTCCGTGGGGACCTCTGGGAGCTGAAGGGCAGGGAGAGGCTGTCACAGGGCTTCAGGACAGAGACCTTCACTGTGCTCATGCTACTAGGACGGTGTCTCTGCGGCAGAGAAGTGCGGCAGCGCCCCCTGGGGACAGCTCCTACAGAGCCTCTGTTGGCCTGCCCCGGGACAGTGGGCAGGACCTAGAGTGTGGCAGCAGGCAAAGCTCGGAGAGCGGAATGAAGGCTCTGGGAAGCCTTGGGTGGCTGCACTTCTCTGAAGAGGCCTGGAGGGTGAGTGTGTGAGAACGGAGGCTGTGGGTGCGCTGCCACAGGCTAGCCCAGCTGCTGCCACCCAGCCTCCATCTCCTTCCAGAGCCGAAGGCGGGAAGAGCACTGTGCTCTGGGGGGCTCTCACCTATTCTGGGCCTGTATGTCCCGCACGTCTCCACAACTCTCTGAGGGGTCACAGTGACTTACCGTGGCAGTATTTCCAACACAGCTTCCGCACAAGAAAACGGTTACAGCAGAGCTCAGAAGCGATGAGCTACCTTGGAGAACTCCCAGTGTTTGTGAGTGTCTGTGTCCCCAGACGACAGTGCTCCAGACCTGATGACGCCCTTTTGGTGGCTCCTACCTGGCCGCAAGCTGCTCCGCGTGCAGGGGCTTCCCAACACACACAGGGTTCCCTCAGCTCTCTCCTCCCTCCAGCTCAGACACTCGCCACCCTGTTCCCTAGCCCAGTGAGTTCTCCCACTGGCTCTCAGGAACCCTGCACCAGAACCCAATTCCACTGCTTGTGGGCCCCTGACGCCTGGACAGCTGAAAGTGAAGATTTGTTACTCGGGGCCCTCAAACCTCACAATTCCCCCATGCACCACCAGGAGTGATTTCGAAGGGCAGAGCCAGAAGAAACTTCTGAGCACTGCCAAGGTGGCCCAAAAATCAAAAACAAAACAAAACAAAAAAATAAGGGTAAAATAATAAAGATTTGCACAGAAAATGCAGCTGGGAGAGACACTGGATCTTTGAAGTGAAAGTTCATGAATAGACGATGATGTGCATGTTGAACTGGACTCCACGGGGGTCTGAGTCTCACGCCTAGTGGCTGGAAAGCACGATGGGGGAGGGGGGCTGCAAGAGACATTTGCATGCCCTTCCTGGAACATTAGGCACAGGGCAAGGGAGTGGAAAGGAGACAGGGCGACCCTCTGGCAGCAGCTCGGGGGTGCACAGGCAGAAGGACAGCATCAAATGGTGGCAGTGGAACCAAGACTGATCAAGACTGGACAGTGAGAGGCAGGCAGATCACCACCACAGGCAGAAGACAAACGCAGACAGGAGGGCAGGAATCTACAGGGGGCCAGGGCACAGGAATACCCAGGGCACCCAGCTCAAGGCTGCTAAACACCATCTTCCTGCAAGAAGCAAGGGCTCCTTGGGCAAATGACCCGGCCAGGTTGGGGCAGGGAAGTATATGTGCACATGTACCAGAGTGTACCCAGAGAAACAGAAGGACATGTCATAAAGTCACAGGAGTCAGCTTGAGAAAACCTGCTGGCCACATGTGCAGTGATCAGAGGGTCAGTAACAGTAAGAGGAGCTGGAGCAATAGCACAGTGGGGAGGGCGTTTGCCTTTTACACAGCAACCCAGGTTCGATCCCTGGCATCTCATATGGTCCACTGAGCACCATCAGGAGTAATTCCTGAGTTCAGAGCTAGGAGAAACCCCTGAGCTCTGTCGAATGTGGCAAAGAAAGAAAGAAAGAAAGAAAGAAAGAAAGAAAGAAAGAAAGAAAAGCAGACAGAGTGCAAAAAAGACAAATAACTCATAGTCCATTTTTCGGGGTTGTTTTGTTTTTTGTTTTTGTGCCACACTCAGCATTGCTCAGGGCTTATTCCTGGCAGGCTTGAAGGATCAGAGATTGAAACCAGGTCAACCTCATGCAAGACAAGCACCTTAACCTCTGTATTATCGCTTCAGCCCACCATTTTTAACACAAAGCATTCAATCCTGATACTGACAGAGGTCTATAATAACCAAATGACACGACGTTTGGACAAATAGGGAGGGGGTCGATGTAGGAACTGATTACATGCTAGAAAGCACAGACCCCAGGAAAGCCTTGAAACAGCCAGTACCCACTTCTCAAGCCCCAGGCAATCCCCAGGAGAGCATGCCTGAAGATTATCCAATCAAACTTAGGCGATATCCAGGAGGGGTGTGCGCACCACAGGACTAGCCAGTGAGGACACGGGCAAGGATTTGCACACTGGCCAGCATGCCTGTGGGGGCCACCGGGGTGCCTGCCTGCCAACCAGCCATAAGACCTGGTCTGAGCGCTGGCACAGGTGTCCATGTCCACTTTTTGACTTTCTGGACCAGAGAACGCGTTCCTCACAAGACTAACCCACCCAACAGAAGAGAGTCCACACTGGCGAGTGACCCGAGGGGAGAGGAAAGCTCCTGCTGCCAAAGAAAGCTAACCGACTCAGAAGGGGCTCTGCAAGTCATCTTTGGCAGCTGCCATCATAACCAACACATGCAGAAGCTCGTGGGTAGAAAGGGATGAGAGAGGGAACTCCCCTTGACATGCCCACTGATTTTCCAACTGCCAAAGGTAAGGGTTGGTCCGACTGGAAGAACCCGGCACACCATCACAACCCAACAATTCCTGGTCTCAGGTGCCCCACCCCCAGGAATGGGGCCCAGGGTTATGAGGTGCCCAGGGAGCAACTCTCCAAGGCCGTGGTTCTGGGGGATGCAACCTCCAAGGTCATGGTCTGGGGCTGTGTACCCTCCAAGGCCATGGTTCTGGGGGTTGTACCCTCCAAGGCCTTGGTCCTGGGGTGTACCCTCCAAGGCCATGGTTCTGGGGCTGTTTACCCCCCAAGGCCATGTTTCTGGGGTATACCCTCCAAGGACGTGTTTCTGGGGTGTACCCTCCAAGGCTGTGGTTCTGGGGGTTATATCCTCCAAGGCCTTGGTCCTGGGATGTACCCTCCAAGGCCGTGGTTCTGGGGGATGCAACCTCCAAGGTCATGGTCTGGGGCTGTGAACCCTCCAAGGCCATGGTTCTGGGGGGTACACCTTCCAAGGCCATGGTTCTGGGGATGTGTACCCTCCAAGGCCGTGGTTCTGGGGGGGTGTACTTTAACAGGCAGGAGGAAATGGCAGACACTGCAGGACCAGATGACAGGTCACTGGCCTGTCATCTAACAACTACAGGATGTGGAGCTGTGCTTATGGGAGGCAGGACAGCCTGATGTGACCCCAAGAAGGACCCGTAGGCTACAGGACATCACGGACCACTGAGTAAGAGAACATGGAGTGTTAGAGCTATTGTTCTGACTTATCCGTAAACATAAAAACAGTTCAAAATGAAAATGAAGAAAGCCCCCCCCCTTTCATTACTCAACTGCCTAAAACTCTGCTCCCACCCTGAGCCAGAACCAAGCCTGAATGATGCCGAGCCTTGCTCCTGTCCCACTTACTCGTTCTCCCTCAACATGGCCATGAGCTGGGACTTCTGCTCCTCTTCCTTCTCCAGCTCAGTACACAGGCTTCTGGACACTGCCTGGAGGCGGCCCACAGCGGCACTGGGGACAGGAGAAACAGGAGAAAGAGTGAGCAGAGGCCAGGCCCATGGGGGGTCCTGCAAGGCCTCTCTCAGCCTCTGTGCCCCCTTCACAGCCATTTCACTTCCAAGAGAGATCACTCACAAGGTCAACTGCACATGAACTGCAGCCACAGAAAGTGGCCAGGAAGCTCTGGTCTCCCTGATAGGACAGAGCAGAAGTGGGATATCTGTGGCTGCAGCCACACAGAGCCCCTCTGGCTCTCCTTTCTGTCCAAGGAGACTGTCCTTGTGCCTAGTCTTTCTTCTTCCCCTCTCCCACAGGCAGCCCAATGACACTCAGAGATGCGGCCATCCCATGATGATTGGTGTAGAAGGACAGTGACCAGAGGACCTGGTCACCTCCTCATGGGGACAGAATGAGACGAAGTGGTTTGGGCATTTGTTTTCAAAGATAGGCAAGCTTGGGGGCTGGAACAATAGCACAGCAGGTAGGGCCTTGCATGCAGCGGACCCGGGTTCGATTCCCAGCACCTCATATGGTCCTCTGAGCGCCGCCACGAGTAATTCCTGAGTACATGAGCCAGGAATAACCCTGTGCATCGCCGGGTGTGACCCAAAAAGCAAAAAAAAAAAATAAATAAGATAGGCAAGCTTAAAAATCCTTCCAGGGGGCCAGAACAATAGTACTTTGGGTCAGGTGCTTGCCTTGCATGCAGCTGACCTATGTTCAATTCCCAGCACCCTATATGGTCCCCCAAACACACCAGGAAGGATACCAGAGTACAGATCCAGGAGTGAGTTCTGAGCAGCACTGGGTGTGGCCCTCAAACCAGAAAAAAAATCCTTCCAAGGATCAAAAAAATGGTCCAGGAGGTAAGGCCCCTCCTCGCATGTAGCCATCCCTGATCTGATACCCAGCATTGCATAGTCCTGAAAGTACACCCAGGGGCAAACTGTGAGCACAGAGTAGGCCCCAGATTACCCCTGGGTATACCCCCAACCCTTCCAAGTGGCCTTATCCCTGCATCCTTGGGCCTTGGGAGGCTCCTGCCCAGGTTGTGTTCCATCAGGCCTACATCCTGTGGAGTCCCAGCTCCGGGAGCCCGAACAGGTGGATACCCCTGTTCTCTCCATGAAGTGAGTGGGTTGACTGCCTCCAGAGCTTCAGACAGAGAGTCAGGACCAAGATCCCCCTGAACCTCTCAGTTGGGAGACCTTGGGAAGGTGAGAGAATGCCCCCGAGAGCCTCAGAGGCTGCCGTCAAGAAAACAGGATAGACACAGGAGGACAAGGCACCACTCAGGGGAGCTTAGTGTGCAGGCACGAGTGGTCTCTGGGCTGCTGTGTTCAAACTGGTGGTCTTTTAGTGTGTGTTTTTGGGGGGCCACACCCAGCAGTACTCAGGGCTTCCTCCTGGCTCTGCACTTAAGAGTTTTCCTGGTGGTGCTTGGGGGGCCATATGTGGTGCTGGGGATGAACGTGGCCCCATGTGGGGTGGTTTTGCAGGCATCTCTTCATCCCCCTTAAGTAAGCCAGTGCTGATGCTTCTTCGCTAGCCAAGCCCGCCCAGTATCCTAGACCGGCCCCACACTGGCCCATTCCCATGGGTATTTCTCATGGGGCCCAGAATGAGCCTGACCATCACGCTGCAGCCCAGCACCTCTTCTTCAGTGATACCCAAGTGCCTGACCACTGGATCGCCCATTCCTGGAAGCTCCAGTCTCGTTCTCAACACACAGGCAGAGGCTGGTATGTTTCGTTGCCTTCTAGCATGCGGCAGGTGCATGATACACACACCCTGACAAATGAGAGTGCTTCCCGGCGACACTGCTGAGCCCACGGCCCCCTGCTTCCTGCCCCACCCCCAGCCCAGAGGCAACCACCTACATGTTGTTGGCCTCTCTCTCCACAGCCAGATTGGCGGACACAGTCGCCTGCTGTTTGGCGATGAAATCCATCCTCTGGCGGCAAGCATGCAGCTCCCTTCTAAAAGTTGAAACCAGAGTTTAGATCAGCATGGCCCTGAAATCCAGGGCTTTTGCTTCTGAACACTAGAACCAGAGTTTAGATCAATATTTCCCTGAAATTCGGTGCCTTTGCTCTCCACTACTGCTCCACTAGCCCAGAAGATGGCAGTTGGACTAAGTGACCTCTCACCCATCAGGGTTTCAAGATTTTTCTAGTACAATCCAGCACATAGCAGAGTATTCCGCTGCTTTCTGGAAACCCTATCAGGTGAGCAGGTAGACAGGTGACCTCAGCCTAAATGGTCTTGTGCTGAGAATCTTCGAGCAGAGTTAACTTGGACCTGCACAGATGAAGGGCACTGGAGAGTCCCACAGTGAGAGTCCCAGGGGGCCACACAGGGCATCATCCCTCCTTAGTATCCCTGCTGGTTTGGGAGCCCTGGTGGGATCCTTCCATTATGTGACTTTCACCGCAACTAAAGGCCACAGACAAAACTCAAATACTGACTCGAGAGGACATCTGGAGGACGAACCACAACACAAGCGGCTTCACGATGGTAACGGGGAAACATTCTTGGCTTTGTTAAGTGAAATAACAGTGCTGGGATCAAGCAGAAGAATATTCAATTTGTTTTAGGAAACACTGAAGCATTTAGATGAATTGCTTGTTTGTTTGAAAGAGGGGCCACGCCTGAGGTGCTGGGGGTGGGTATGCTTTGCCAGGAATTGACTGAAGGGTCTCACATCTGCTAGACCCGAGCCAGTCCTGGGCTGACACAGAAGCACTTCAGAGTAAAGTATCATGAAACTTGCTTTCAAACAAATTCCCACTAGAAATCTCAGGTGCAACACATACTCATAGATGCAGTGAGGAAGCCAGGACAGGAGCTGGTTGTTCCCACAGTCTGTGAGTTGGAAGTCTCAAACCTTCACCAACATCAAAAAGTGTCGAGTGACCTGAGTGTTGGTTCTGGTGTTGGTGCCCACCACACCGTGACCAAGGTGGGGTGGAAAAGGAGCAGGGCTGTCTGAGCTGAGCACCGCCTCCTAAGGGGCCGCTCTCTGCAGGATTTAAGCAGAGTGCCCAGAAGGTAGGAGGAAGCCTGTGCATTGCAACTAAAGGGCTGTGGAGGCTGTGCTCACCTGGGGAGGGGGGGTGCTCATCTCTGTTCTGTTTGGTTGGTTTAGCTTGGGAGACACACCTAGTGATGCTCAAGGGTGGCTTCCAGCACTGCTGGGGGATCATGCAGTGCCAGGAATTGAAGTCAGGGTTCCAGCAAGCACAGTTGTACTCCAGTCTTTGAAGCCATCTCCTCAGTCCTCACCTCATTTTCTGAATAGAGAGTTCTTTCTTCTTGTGCAGCATCTCCAGGATGTTCAAGTCCTTCCTCAGCTGCAGCTCCCGGCTCTTGGCCTGGATGTCTCTTTTCTTCTGCTCTTTCCCTGAACTTAACCAAGAGAGGACACAAGCTGCTCACTGTGTGTCAAACATGCCCTGCAGCCTATGTACACGCCAGCTTCCCTAGCTGGGATGAAAGCTACAGTTGGGGGCAGGGCAGGAGGTGCCCACACAGAGCAGTTACCAGTAGCCTGTGGCTGTATTTTCTGCAGCTTCTGGAGAAGATTCCTCCAATTCTGAATGGTCTGGTGCATCTCTTTCTAGAAATAAGCAAGAGTTAGAAAACAAAGAGCCATTCTGAGCATATAAAAATGAGTTCAACAGGGCTGGAGCGTTAGTACAGTGGGTAGGGTGTTTGCCTTGCACGCGGCCGACCCAGGTTCAATTCCCAGCTTCCCATATGGTCCCCCAAGCACTGCCAGGAGTAATTCCTGAGTGCAGAGCCAGGAGGAACCCCTGAGCATCGCCGGGTGTGACCAAAAAAGAAAAAAATGAGTTTAACAAAAAAACCCTGACAAGCTCAAACTTCATGGACAATGCATTGAGGGCAAAGGTTCTTAAACAGTGCAACCTGGGACCTGGAGGACTCTGGAGCTCTTTCAGAGTCTGCAAAATCAAGGCTATTTTCACTATAACGCAAAAAGACACTATTGGATTTTAACATTTTCATTCGATGTGTGAAGCTGAGTTTTGCCGAGCCCACGTGGCAGATGCTTGCAACAGACTAAGCCTAGGGTTAAAAGAGAATCCAGCATCTCATTAAACCGTACTCTTCTTTATAGACTTTAGGCTGGGGCTGGAGCGATAGTACAGCAGGTAGGGCAGTTGCCTTGCACACAGCCGACCCGGGTTCAATTCTCAGCATCCCATATGGTCCTCAGAGCACCGCCAGGAATAACTCCTGAGTGCAAAGCCACAAGTAAGCCTTGTGCATTGCCAGGTATGAACCCAAAAGCAAAGCAATATATAGACACTAGGCTTCCCTATCTCTCTGATTTTATTTTTAGGGGAGTTGGGGGCCACACCCAACACTGCTCAAGGCTTATTCCTTTGTACTTAGGATCAATCCTGGTGAGTGACCATATGGAGTACTGGGGAGTGACCATATGGAGTACTGGGGATTGAACCCAAGTCAGCCATGAGCAAAGCTAGCTCCCTACCTGCGGTGCTTTCACTCTGACCCTGCCTTTCCTTCTCTCTCTCCCCTTTCTCCCCTGCCCCCTTCTGTTGTTGTTGTTGTTGTTGGTTTGGGGGAACACCCAACTTTGCACAGGGCTTACTCACTCTTTGCCATGCTCAAGTTCATATGTGGTCAGGGACTGAACCTGGCTTGACCACATGCCTTTCCCACTGCAGAGTCTCTCTGACCCACTCATTATTTCTAACTTAAGTGAGCATACATTTCTTCAGCTTCTGGAGGCAGTGGAAGGGATCTAACTCAGGGCCTCACAGATGTGAGGCAGGTGCTCTTCTGTGAGCCTCAGTTCTAATTTTAGTACAACAAACATTGAAATGCATAGCCTATAAAAGTCTAGAGTCTTCAATAATTTTTAAGACTATAAAGGAATTATATAATTTAAGTAAGTTTGAGAACTACTATAGGATAACATTGGTTTGTCCTTTTTCCCTTGCCGTAGGGAGCTTAGGTTTGTAGGATTACCCATCACAGTGCTCCCATTTGTATAACGGTTTATCTTAAACTTCTCCTCTGTGCTCTGCTACCCCTGTTAATCATCTATATCCCCAAATCAGACCCTGTGACTTGTAGGGTCAGATCCTTCTAAGTTAGAACTCCGGATTTTGTATATGTAAGTGAAATATTGCTTTTTTCTTTCTCTTATGTCCTTTGCATAGTTTACGTTAGAGCAATGTCCTTTTTGTATAGAAACAGGAAAACAGTTTATGCTATGCTTTTGTAACTTGGGAGTTAATTGACTCTGAATAATATTTACTCCTAGGCATCTGTCATATTTACTTGACTTAAGCCTCAGTGGCCCTTAGTTCCAAGCACCCCAAAAGCAAGGTCCTAATGAAGGGACTGGATGGACCCAAGGCAAGCTGTAAGCTAGCCTGGCATCAAAATGGGATAGGCCAAGTGCCATAAAACTTAACAATAAGAGCAGGGTCACAGACAAATTCTGTATCCAAAGAGAAACAACTGATAAGGACCCTGCTGAGGTTAGGAAGGACTAATCTGGCCTGAGCACTGTAGTCTGGGAAATGTAGCGAGATGTTCTCAGGAGAGCCATCCTGTAAGCTTAATGTATCTCTTACCGTGTCCATAAAAAATGACTAGAAAGATAATTATGAAGTAAATCTAAGGTGATTGTTTATGGACTAAGGAAAGGAGAAATACGCCCTTGGATGAAATTCTGCCCTAGAGCAGATCTCCTAGCAGGAGATCTTTGTTTTAGAAGAGCTTCCCCAGAAAAAAGGGCTTTACATATGTTGATTGTGCTATCTGAAATGGGTGGAATTGCTACCCTCATCCTAGGAGGCTGGGCTATTAATACCGGGCACACAAAGTAGCATGGTGGAAGTAGGAGATGGTAATAAGGAGCCATAAGAGACTGTCATGAGGTGCTCAGTGAGATTGGAATAGGCACACGGGAAGAATGGAGTAAACAGCAGGATGTAGATTGGAATAAACTGCAACTGATCACCAACCAGATTGGCGGCCCTGTTCCTTCCTTCATGTGTCTGTTGGTGGCGGCTGCTGGAGGGGTGGGGAAGAGGTTCAAGGCCACCAAATGGACGTGGTGAGAGAGCCCATACACACACATTTTGCGAACACACAAATTACTATCTTAGAGAATGACTGCAACTTTTAGTAAAACAAAGCAAATAGAACTATTGGTTTTATCTTCACTCATGTTGAATCTCAGTGTGGCTGGAAAAGGATTCTAAAAGGAACCAATTCACAGATACAGGAGAATGGGAGAGGAAAAGTGGTGGTGAGAGGAAGCTTAGCGTTTGGGTAGTGGCAGCTGACTACTCACACCACACCCCAAAACACTGAGGTGGGGAGTGAAGGACCATAGAATCTGGTATTTGCAGGAGGATAGGGGCACATTAGGCTGCTCTCGGGTTCACTCTTGGCGAGGTGTCTGGGGGGAATATGAGGTACTGTGATTAAAATCAGATCAGCCATGTGTAAGGCAAGGGCCTTGAACAATCCCTCTGGTCACAGAACCTGGTATTCTGACTGGAATGTTCTCCTGGTGCCCAGCATAGCTTAGAAAATTTTGGATCATCATTTTTTTTTTTTAAATCTAAAAGCTTCCAGGCAAAGAAAACAAAAATAGGTCATATTCAAAGGACTGGGATAAAAATGGCATCAGATTTTTAAATAGATGTTAGAAACTAAAGAACTATGGTCTGCCACTTTCAAATTTTTCTCTTTCAACTGAAAACAGAACAATTTAAGCTTCCTTACTGAGGAATAAAAATGAACTGAAACGATAAAGTCCCCCTTAAAAAAAGGGAACTCAAGGACAACTGTGAAGCATGCCACTTTGTGCCCCTTGATGTTGGAAGGCTGCCCCCAGGGAAAGACCTTTATTACCATTTTCCACAAGAGGGTCATTGGCTAAAAGCACCTCCTCAGGGAATGAGTTGGCATCCTCTTCCATGTTGGGAAGCAGAAATCGGCTGGAAAAAAAAAGATGAACAAAATCTGAGGTTAAAATACCACAGGGCCTAGGGCTGGAGAGATAGTACAGAGGATAGAGCACTAGTCTTGCATAGCATGTGGTTGACTTGGGTTCAATCCCAAGCATCCCATATGCTTTTCCAAGCACTTCCAGGATTCCTGAGTGCAGAACCAGGAGTAACCCCTGAGCATTGCTAGTGTGGCCAACCCCCAAAAATAACCGAATTTGAAAAGCCTGAGGTCTAGAGTGACAATACAGTGGATAGGGCGTTAGCCTTGCATGTGGTCAAACTGAATTCAATCCCAAGCATCCCATATAGTCCTCTGAGTGTCACCAGGATTAAGTCCATAGCTCAGAGCCAGGAGTAACCCCTGAGTATCGCTGGGTGTGGCCCCAAAACAAAACAAAACAATCCTAAAAATTGAATTTTGTAGGCACAATTTATCTTGTAAAAAGACATAAATATGATAAGTGAAGATGTAGCTAAGTGCTGAGCTTGTTACTCAAATGTTATGAAGCAGAGGGGTGAGACACAAAAAAGTGTGTATTAAACCCAAATACTGGTAAACCACTTGACAAGGATAGAAGTCGGTGGTTTGAGTAGTGGCGAATGGGGCCAGAGAGAGAGAGGGCTTTAGAAAATTGTAGTGGTGGAAAGACTTTATACCTGGTTTTGGGTGGTTGTTACATGTTGGATAACATTGATTTGTTCATGTTCCTCCCTCAGGGAGTTTAGGTTTATTGAGTTACTCCCACGACAGAGCGCCTGAGGCACACCCAATTCCATCAAGCACTAATAATCCTATATTGCTTTTCTCTTTTCTTTATGTCACTCGTATGGTTTAGCAATATCCTTTTTGTATAGACATAGAAGACAGTTCATGCTATGCTTTGTAACATGGGAGTTCACGATCACGATCACTATCATCCTGTTGTTCGTCGATTGCCTCGAGCAGGCACCAGTAACGTCTCCTTCGCCCTAGCCCTGAGATTTTAAAAAATGCCACATTCAAGGCTCTTTCAGGGTTAGGAGAATGAGACCCATCATTGTTACTGGTATTTGGCATATTGGGTACACCACAGGGAGTAAATTAAGAATGAGATAATAAGATGTCGCGCAGCCATGCACTTCCAAGAGCTGGGTTTTATAGTCTCTGGGTCTTGGCCGTTGGTGCGGGGGGGGGGGGGGGGGGAGGGGGGCAGGGAGCAGTTGGTGGGTGTGTCTGTGACCCCTGCCTACTGGAAGATGGAGGATCTGGGTGGAGGATGCTCAGCCCGTATCCGAGCAGGCTTGGAGATCTCAGCCCCGGGATCCTCATGCCTTTGTTCCTCATGGGAGTTAATTGGCTTCAAAATAATATTTACTCCTGGGCATCCATATTTACTTGACTTAAGCCTCAGTTGCCCTTAGCTCCTACCACTCCAAAAGCAAGGTCCCGATGAATGGACTGGATGCACCCAGGGTAAGCTGTAAGATACCCTGGCATCGAAAGGGGACAAGCTAAGTACCATAAGTATAAGTTAAGCGCACGGTCATGGACAAACTCATCATGACCCAAAAAGAAGTGACTGAATAAAGACCCTGATGGGGTTAGGAAAAACTAACCTGGCCTGAGGACGGTGGTCCAGGATATATAGAGAGATGTCCCCAGGAAGAGACAAACTTTAAGCTTAATATAATCTCTCACTGTGTTCATACAAAATGACTAGAAATATTATAAGTAAATTTACTATGATTGTTTGGGCTGGAGTGATAGCACAGTGGTAAGGTGTGTGCCTTGTGCGCAGCTGGCCCAGCCGAGCCGGGTTCAATTCCTCCGCCCCTCTCGGAGAGCCCGGCAAGCTACCAAGAGTATCTCACCCACACGGCAAAGCCTGGCAAGCTACCCGTGACGTATTTGATATGCCAAACACAGTAACAAGTCTCATGATGGAGACATTACTGGGCCCGCTCGAGCAAATTGATGAACAACGGGAGGACAGTGCAGTACTATGATTGTTTAAATGTATTACCAGCTGAGGAAAGGATAAAGCAATACACTCTGGATGGAATCCCACCCTTGAGCTGATCTAATAATTTGGAGTGCTGAACCCTCAAATGAGATTTTGTCCTTGAGTTAATCCCCTAGGACTACCCCTGAAGGAGTGGCTTTACCTCTGTTTGTTGTTATGACAATGTAACCCCACCTTTGTGTACCTCACCCCTCATGATTTCTATATAATTATGCTGTAAGGGGAAAACAGGGACTAGAAGGAGGACTAGATGATGTCGATGACTGGAAGCAGAGGACTTTGAGGATGACGAGGATGAGGATGAGAGAACTATGATGACTGGGACTATGACCAAAACTACGACTACGATTGTGCTATAAGGAGAGAGATTGGACTATGCTGAGGAGGAGAGAGAAATAAACTGACTACTGACCAGTCTGGGGCCCAGGCCCTGTTCCTCCATTCCCCAGTGCTTCATCCGTCCGTGGGCTGATTAGGGGAACAGTTTTTGGCCACTGAATGCTCGAGTCTGGTGCGCCACTGCACCTTTCTTTTGAAACTCACAGTTACACAGGGAGGGCAACTGTCAAAACTCATCAAAGGACCAGAGCAGTAGTACAGTAAATTGAGCACTTGCCTTGCATACAATTGGCACAGGTTCAATCTTAGGCACCCCCTATGCTCCTGATCCCCACCATGAGTGATCACTGAGTGCAGTCAGGAGTAAGTCCTGAGCATCACTGGGTGTGGCCCAAAAAAGAAGGTGGAAAAAAAGGAGGGAAGGGCAGGGGAGGAAGGAAGGAAGGAAGGAAGGAAGGAAGGAAGGAAGGGAGGGAGGGAGGGAGGGAGGGAGGGAGGGAGGGAGGGAGGGAGGGAAGGAAGGAAGGAAGGAAGGAAGGAAGGAAGGAAGGAGCTAAAAAGTGGGAGAACTGGATTTTCAGGCACACACAAAGAAAAAGAAAGAAAGAAAGAAAGAAAGAAAGAAAGAAAGAATAAATTCAAAGAGACAAGAAAAATTTCAAAACATTAGAATTAATGCAACAAAAAGAAACATGATAAGAGATGTCCCTCTGGGGATAGGGGTGGGGGAGAAGGGGAGAAAGAGAGAGAGAGAGAGAGAGAGAGAGAGAGAGAGAGAGAACTTGGGCTTGGAAACAAAAGCCACCTTTAAACACTCAGTATACAATTCTAACAGAGGCTTAGTTGTAACATAAACACAAAACAAAATCATTATCAACCGTAACAGAATTAACATTGATTTAATAAAATCCAATACCAATTTATAGTTATTTTCCCACAGATTCTCAAGAAAAGTATTTTACAGTTGCTTGCTTGAATCAGGATCCAACTAGGATCTCCATATTACTTGTTCTCTCATTGTCTCTTTAGACCCTTTTAATTGAAAAGTCTCACCGCCCCACCCCCATGACATTGACTTATTAAGGAAACTGGGTCATTTACTCCATTTAATTTCTATTTCGGTCTCCTTTAACTTTACACAGTGGGACTTTGTCATTTTCTCTTTAGAAGGAGGGTCTATACTCATGAGTGAGATTCAGATATGTCTTTCCTTCCTTCTACTTTTGGTCAAGCTTGGGAACTGAATGAGTTCAGTGAGGCCCATGAAGTAAGCCAGGTGTATCCTGGGGTTCTCCTGCCTAAAAAAGTGTTTATGAAGATCAAATATTTTGTTCCTCGACTATATTGAAAAGGAGCCTCTGAACTGAGATTCTTTTTTTTTTTTTGACCATTGATTGAAGGATTTTCCAAATTTCTGCATTTTTTCTTGAAAACATTTTGTTAGTTTATTTTCAAGTCATCTAAATGTTCAACCTTATCGGCATAAAGTCTGACAATCCCCATTTCCTTATTATTGTTGTGGCTGTGTGACTAGAATTCATGTGCCCATACACTTGGCTGGAGAGCACTGGAGACCACACTCTGTAACGGTGCTGGAGACCCCAGGTTTGCGCTCAGTATGTGGTTGATGCTGAGGATCGAGCTTGAGGTTTCCCATCTGCAAAGCAAGTGCTCTACCAACTAACCTCTCCTGCCCCCATATGTGTATATATCTGTGTGTATTTAATATCTGCAACATCTGTTGTTCTAGATTATTATGTTTTGATATTGATTTTTGCTTGGGTGCCACACCCAGCTATGCTCAGAGCTCACTTCAGGCTCTGCACTCAGGGATCACTCCTGATGGGGATAGGAGACAATATGGAATGCTGGGGATTGAACCCGGATCAACTATGTGAGAGAAAAACACCCTACCCACTATACTACCTCTCCAGTCCCCCAAGTTCTCCCTTAAACACATATCTCTCTTCTCTCTTCTCTGCTTTTACCCCTATGGAGAAGCCTGTGTTCTCTCTTGCACCTGTTTCTCTCAATTCCTCTCAATAAAACCTACTTTGCTTCCCTAATTGATAGGTAAAATGATACTTTCTTTAGACTGTATTATTTGGAAACTAAAAGTGAGGAGTCTAGAGAGATAGTACAGTGGCTAGAGTGCTTGCCTTGCATGAGGTTGACCCAGGTTCAATTCCTGGCATTACATATAGTCCCTAAGCCCACCAGAAGTGACCCCTGAGCACAGAGCTGAGAGTAAGCCCTGATTACTGCTGGGTATGGTCCAAAAGCAAAAACAAAAACAGACTAAAAGTGGGAGGAAAAGATAAAATTCTATTAACTCCCAGAGTAGAATGATGGATACATGTAGTTCATATTACCACTCTAGACTTTTTGTGAGTTTGAAATTTTGCACAATATAGTTAATATAATTAAGTAAATGGAGAGATATACTTTCAACTACAGAGACTCAATGTTGTCAAGTTACCTTTCTCTCGCCAAATCACTCTACAGATTCATGAACCAACACCTCTACCACCACAATCCCAAGAGGAGGCGGAGTGGGGTGAAGGAGGAGAGGGAAGTATGTGGACATCTCAGCAGTGGCTCAAACCAACATGCTAGCTGAATACCCA